GAGATATTCACAAATAATCCTGTCTGTTCTGTAAACCGAATCCGAGTAAATTTTTCGTTTAAGAACGAATTCTCATAATTTTTCTCATTTTAATTTTATTAAAATAAATTAATAAATTTAATTTTATTAAAATAAATTAAATAATTGTTTTTTGTGTTTTTTAATATAATTGTAACTTAGTATAAATGCTATGGGCATTTTAAACTCTTTTTCATTTAAAATATTATTGTTTTTCTGAATTTTACGTTCAAATAAATATTCGATTTGCAGAACACCAAATTCGGTTTTAAAAGTTTCTCGTTTTTGAAACCGAATCGATTTACAGAACAGACAGGAGTATAAGATTGTAAATGTGGGAAATGTTAAGTTTTTTAATTATTTCTCAATAATTCATAAAAAATTTGAAAAACAAAAGCTGAAATAAAGAATAGTTAAGACCTCGGTTAGCAATTGAATTTGTAGCGAAAAATTATTTTTTTAGTAAAAAAATTCGAAAAATATTTTTTTTTTGTTAAAAATTTAATTTTGAAAAATGTTAAAGCTGTTGCAAAATATAGAATCTTTATTTTTGGTGAAAAAAAGGTACACAAAAAAAGAATTTTCAATAAAACGATTAATCATAAATTTTAAAAGGGTTTAATTATTTTTTATATTTGAGTCATAAAATTGCAATCTCAAATACGTTTTGAACAACAAGAAAAATTAAAAAATATTTTTTTTGTGTATGAAATTAATAAAAAATAGTGGCTTTGTTCCAGAGCTTTTTGGGCTAAAGGGAATTATTGAATTTTTCCTATTTACTTGCAAAAATTACGAGAACAGAAAAAACTAAAAACAATAAGTTTGGTACTTAAAATGCAAAAAAACTAAACGAATTCTACTTCCTATAACGCCCGCCCTGAGAAACAACTTAATATCCCCTGACCAGCTTCGGATACTATTTTGTCCTAGCTTTCATCCTATGTGTTAAAATCCCATTCAGGTCTGTCCTAGGTGGCTCGCAATACATTTGGAACATAAACTGTCTAAATAAATTCCACCCTTTATAGTCCTCGCTGAGAAACAACTTAAGATCCCCTTACCAGTTTCGGATACTACTCCGTCCTAGCTTTCATCCTATGTGTTAGAATCCCATTCAGGTCTGTCCCATAAACTGTATTTGGAACATAAACTGTGTAAATAAATTCCACCCTTTATAGCCTCCACCCATTATAGTCCTCTTTGAGAAACAACTTAAGATCCTCTTTGCAGTTTTAGACACTACTCCGTCCTAGCTTTCACTTTATGTGTTAAGATCCGATTCAGGTCTGTCCCATGTGGCCCCCAATAAGGTTGGAACTTAGGTACAAATAAAACAAAATTAATTAAATTCCACCCCTTATAGCGCCCTCCCTGAGAAACAACTTAAAATCCTCTTTCCAGTTTTGGATACTACTCCGTCCTAGCTTTCACCTTATGTGTTAAGATCTCATTCAGGTCTGTCACATGTGGCCCGCAATAAGTTTGGAACTTAAAGTACAAAAGACAAATTAATTAAATTCCACCCCTTATAGCGTCCTCCCTGAGAAACAACTTAAAATCCTCTTTCCAGTTTTGGACACTACTCCGTCCTAGCTTTCACCTTATGTATTAAGATCCCATTCAGGTCTGACCCATGTGGCCCCCAATAAGGTTGGAACTTAGGTACGAAAAAACAAAATTAATTAAATTCCACCCCTTATAGCGCCCTCCCTGAGAAACATCTTTAAATCCTCTTTCCAGTTTTGGACACTAATCCGTCCTAGCTTTCACTTTATGTGTTAAGATCCGATTCAGGTCTGTCCCATGTGGCCCCCAATAAGGTTGGTACAAAAAAAAAATAATTTAATTCCACCCCTTATAGCGCCCTCCCTGAGAAACATCTTTAAATCCTCTTTCCAGTTTTGGACACTACTCTGTTCCAGCTTTCACCTTATGTGTTAAGATCCGATTCAGGTCTGCCCCATGTGGCCCCCAATAAGGTTGGAACTTAGGTACAAAAAAAAAACAAAATTAATTAAATTCCACCCCTTATAGCGCCCTCCCTGAGAAACATCTTTAAATCCTCTTTCCAGTTTTGGACACTAATCCGTCCTAGCTTTCACTTTATGTGTTAAGATCCGATTCAGGTCTGTCCCATGTGGCCCCCAATAAGGTTGGTACAAAAAAAAAAAATTAATTTAATTCCACCCCTTATAGCGCCCTCCCTGAGAAACATCTTTAAATCCTCTTTCCAGTTTTAGACACTACTCCGTTATAACTTTCACCTTATGTGTTAAGATACCATTCAGGTCTGCCCCATGTGGCCCCAATAAGGTTGGAACTTAGGTACAAAAAAAACAAAATTAATTTAATTCCACCCCTTATAGCGCCCTCCCTGAGAAACATCTTTAAATCCTCTTTCCAGTTTTGGACACTACTCTGTCCCAGCTTTCATCTTATGTGTTAAGATCCGATTCAGGTCTGTCCCATGTGGCCCCCAATAAGGTTGGAACTTAGATAAAAAAAAAACAAAATTAATTAAATTCCACCCCTTATAGCGCCCTCCCTGAGAAACAACTTGAAATCCTCATTCCAGTTTTGGACACTACTCTATCCTAGCTTTCACCTTATGTGTTAGAATCCCGTTCAGGTCTGTCCTAGGTGGCCCACAACACGTTTAGAACTTAAAGTTCAAAAAAATTTAGAAATAATCTCCATTATAGCGTCCGCCCTGGGAAACAACTTAAAATCCCCTCTCCAGATTTGGGAACTTCTCCATACTAGCTCCCACCATATGTGTCAGAGTCCCATTCAGGTCTGTTCTAGGGGCCCGAAATACGTTTGGGATAGTTTATAACTTACACACTTCTAGTGAATTTTATTTAGTCATTTTAACATAAAAATGTGAAAAAATTTAAATCAATTTATTTTCTTTTTAAAATGTAAAAAAAATAATTTTGTTTTTTTTATTTTTTATTTTTTTTATTAAATTTAACGTGTGGAATGGTGTGGAACGTATTTTAACAGCATGTGGAATGTATTTAACAGAGGTGTGGAACGTATATATTCGACATATTTATCTTCACACCGTCAAAATTTTTATTATATTATCTTTCAAATGTAGTTATAAATATTAATGGCTGTCGAAATGAAATAATACTATACTCTATAGCCTAAACTAGAGTCTAGTCTATATAGAGTAGTTTATAGTCTAGTCTAGACTCTAGGAACTAGACTAGACTATAGACTAGACTATAGACTAGACTATAGACTAGACTATAGACTAGACTATAGACTAGACTATAGACTAGACTATAGACTAGACTATAGACTAGACTATAGACTAGACTATAGACTAGACTATAGACTAGACTATAGACTAGACTATAGACTAGACTATAGACTAGACTAGACTATAGACTAGACTATAGACTAGACTATAGACTAGACTATAGACTAGACTATAGACTAGACTATAGACTAGACTATAGACTAGACTATAGACTAGACTATAGACTAGACTGTAGACTATAGACTAGACTATAGACTAGACTGTAGACTAGACTATAGAATAGACTATAGACTAGACTATAGACTAGACTAAGACTAGAATATAGACTAGACTATAGACTAGACTATAGACTAGACTATAGACTAGACTATAGACTAGACTATAGACTAGACTATAGACTAGACTATAGACTAGACTATAGACTAGACTATAGACTAGACTATAGACTAGGCTATAGACTAGACTATAGACTAGACTATAGACTAGACTATAGACTAGACTATAGACTAGACTATAGACTAGACTATAGACTGGACTATAGACTAGACTATAGACTAGACTATAGTCTAGACTATAGACTAGATTATAGACTAGACTATAGACTAGACTATAGACTAGATAATAGACTAGATTATAGAGTAGACTATAGACTAGACTATAGACTAGATTATAGATTATATTATAGACTAGACTATAGACTAGATTATAGACTAGATTATAGACTAGATTATAGACTAGATTATAGACTAGACTGTAGATTAGACTATAGACTAGACTATAGATAGACTATAGACTACACTATAGTCTAATAGACTATAGACTACATTATAGTAGAGTATATAACCTAGTATATAGTCCGGTGTAGTCTATAGTCTAGTCTATAGTCTAGTCTATAGTCTAGTCTATAGTCTAGTCTATAGTCTAGTCTATAGTCTAGTCTATAGTCTAGTCTATAGTCTAGTCTATAGTCTACAGTCTAGTCTATAGTCTAGTCTATAGTCTAGTCTATAGTCTAGTCTAGTCTATAGTCTAGTCTATAGTCTAGTCTATAGTCTAGTCTAGTCTAGTCTAGTCTAGTCTAGTCTATAGTCTAGTCTATAGTCTAGTCTATAGTCTAGTACTAGTCTATAGTCTAGTCTATAGTCTAGTCTATAGTCTAGTCTATAGTCTAGTCTATAGTCTAGTCTATAGTCTAGTCTATAGTCTAGTCTATAGTCTAGTCTATAGTCTAGTCTATAGTCTAGTCTAGTCTAGTCTATAATATAGTCTATAGTCTAGTCTAGTCTATAGTCCAGTCTATAGTCTAGTCTATAGTCTAGTCTGTAGTCTATTCTATAGTTTAGTCTGTAGTGTATCTTATAGAGTAGTATATTTTTATCATTCAGTAGAACATTCGTTATTGCTTTAAAGCACGCCATAGAAAATGTTCAAAAAAAGAAATGAAAATAAATTTTGTCTGTAATTCTTGAATATTTTGAAAGATGTGTTTTTTTTATAAAATAAAAGAGGAGGTGTTGAGTTAATGTAAGAAGTATTGTATTATTATATCTATGACATAACAACTAAACACGAAAAATGTACTCTATATTTAACAATTGTAATATTGATTTTGTAAAATTAAACATTTTACTGAAGTAACAAATATTACATAACATTATTGCTATTAAAAAAACTAATAATAAATATTTCTTTGTTTCTTTTATTGCAGATATAATATGCCACTTAGGAATGACAATATAATGCCATATAAATTTTTAAAATTACACACAGAAAAATGGAAACAATATCCAAGATTTCCCTGATATTGGTTCTATTCCTAATTGTTGACTTCAGTCGTTTAACAAATTATAAATCATCATCGTCATCATTACTGGTACAAGCGTCCACTACTAAATTAGAATTAAAACAAGAGCAACTACAACATAATATTAATAATAATGATTTAAAAACTACATCATGTATTACCACCCTGGCTAATGATCCATTGAGCCTACTTAAGCAGCAACAACAACAACAACAACAATTGCAACTTCATAACCAACAGCAGCAACAACAAATCAAACACACTAAAGAAAGTTTAGGATTTTTAGAGAAATTTTTCCAACATCCTTTAGCTGCTATTGGTATAGGCAAAGATGGATCTGACACCACCACCATAACTGATGATATAGAAGATAGAGATATTTTATCTGATTATCAAGATGATATTATAGGTTTCAATACACCCCTAGCGGGTGTGGCTGAAGAAGACAATGTCTTTAAATTATTTTGTGAAAACACTTCGATACCCAACGTTAATGAAGAGCTAAAAGCTAAAAAATATATTAAATATGCCCACATAATACTGAACCATTGCTATGAAGGCCACAAACAGCAGGATGTCTATTTGCAAATGCAACAGCTGGAGAGTGTGCATAGTTTACATTGGACTTCGTCGGGGGTAAAAGATCGTCAACTGCAGGATCTCTTTAAGAATTATGAAACAAATTTTGACAATTTACAATCTTTGGATTTGTCACGTAACGCCTTAGTCTGCATAGAGTGGGTGCGTCCGCGCGTGGTAAGACGCCTCAGAGTACTTAAGCTAACGGGCAACGAAATCGATATGGAATTGTGTGACTTTTCGCCTTTACACCATGCTAACCATTTGATTGAATTACGCTTGGATAATAATCGTCTGCACGTATTTAATGGCAAATTTCTAAGCAATTTAAGTGAACTGAAGGTTTTAAACTTGACCCATAATTTCCTAACCGATCTTCCGCGCAATAGTTTCGATGGTGTCTTTAAACTGCAAAGATTACATGTGGCCCACAATAGACTGAAAGTTTTGCCTTTTCAACTGTTTCGTTCGATGGGCGATTTACAGATACTCAATTTGGCCGACAATCAACTCTTGTCTTTTCCCGATAATTTCTTTGCCTCGAATGGCGAAATGCGCATATTACAGCTGCAAAGAAATCAACTGCAAATGATCAACCGCAACTCGTTTTATAATTTACAGAAACTCTTACATTTAGATTTATCGGAAAATCAAATTGCCACCATTGATCGCAAGTCCTTTGAGTCGTTGAAGAATTTAATAACCCTGAATATATCCTCGAATGCTTTAACAACTATTTCCTCCATTCTATTCCACCCGCTACAGCGTCTGCAACATTTGGACCTGAGCAATAATCGTTTTACCCAACTGCCAAGTGGTGTATTTATGCATCAGAGAAATTTAATTTCATTGCGCATCGAGCATACCCCGATTGAAAAGCTTAACAATTGGTTGTCACGCAATGACAACTCGTATGTTGATTCGTCGATCCTAAAACATTTAACTTATCTGTCGCTGCAACACAATCATCAATTGAAAACGTTGAGCAAAACTCTCTTCTTGAATGCGCCCAATTTAAAAATTCTACTGCTGGCCCATAATGCCCTGCAACAACTGCCGTCAGAGGTATCGTCCCTACATCAATTGGAACGTCTTAATGTCGGCCATAATAATCTTTCCTTTTTACCTGAAACCCTAAGTTATTTGCCTAATTTACGCAATATCAATATTTTGAACAATGATTATATATGTGACTGTAAACTCTATTGGTTGGCATCGTGGTTGACATCGACAAACACTAGCCTTCGTATGCATCGACGTTCGGCCTCGTCTTTTTCGCTGATGGAAAATCACAATGAGTTTACGTCTTCTGAAAAATCAGAAGACTTAGACTTATTGATTTCATCATTGAAATGTCTACACGGTTATCCGGGCGATATGATATCGGTTGTTGAAAACTTTAAATTGTACAACGCCGCGTTTGCAAAGTGCGACCGGAGTTAAAATGCATGAATTACATTCGACTGCCAAATTGGACTGTTTATTTTCGGGCAGTCCATCACCAGATGTTATTTGGGTATGTTGAAGTTTTACTGGCTTTTTTTATTTATTAATAAATTGTTGTTTTAATGTTATTTTGTTTTTAAATAGAATTTACATTTAATAGGTTATAACTTATTGTATATAATTTGTTTCTACTGTTATCTATATTTGTAATAGAAACACAATATATTTTTAAGAAAATGCTGCTTAGGATATTAATGGATCTCACGTTAAAAGAGTTTGGTTATATATTAATATTATTTGATATATAGTAAGCTGATTACGACTTTGTTTTCATTTATTTTCATTAATTCATATTATTTAAAATAACGTCTCATCAACATAAACTTTTGTTTATTATTATATGCAAAAATGTTAATGTAATTTTAATAAGTTGACTCCAACGCCAAATTGAAAACAATCATCGCTATTCTGCATTTCGAGTAGGTTTCCTCATTCCAACAAACGGAAGATAGAATATTGAGAAGAAGATTGTTCAATGCTTAAAAATTGTTAAATATGTATTCTGCATTAAATAACTTATTATTGTAGTGATGAAGCGTCAAATCGAAGTGCAGAATGCCGATGTATCCAAACAGAGAAAAAATTACCTCAGAAGTAGTTAATGGCAAGCAAATAAGAAAGAGAGCCACGCCTGCGGACAAGCCTGTGGTGAAAGAATCACTGCGGGCGGTCTGGTTCAGGACGGACGGACGGACGGGCAGACGGACGGACGGACGGACGGACGGACGGACGACGGACGGACGGACGGACGGACGGACGGACGGACGGACGGACGGACGGACGGACGGACGGACGGACGGACGGACGGACGGACGGACGACGGACGGACGGACGGACGGACGGACGGAAGGACGGACGGACGGACGGAGGACGGACGGACGACGGACGGACGGACGGACGGACGGACACGGACGGACGGACGGACGGACGGACGGACGGACGACGGACGGACGGACGGACGGACGGACGGACGGACGGACGGACGGACGGACGGACGGACGGACGGACGGACGGACGGACGACGGACGGACGGACGGACGGACGGACGGACGGACGGACGGACGGACGGACGGACGGACGGACGGACGGACGGACGGACGGACGGACGGACGGACGGACGGACGGACGGACGGACGGACGGAGGACGGACGGACGGACGGACGGACGGACGGACGGACGGACGGACGGACGGACGGACGGACGGACGGACGGACGGACGGACGGACGGACGGACGGACGGACGGACGGACGGACGGACGACGGACGGACGGACGGACGGACGGACGGACGGACGGACGGACGGACGGACGGACGGACGGACGGACGGACGGACGACGGACGGACGGACGGACGGACGGACGGACGGACGACGGACGGACGGACGGACGGACGGACGGACGGACGGACGACGGACGGACGGACGGACGGACGGACGGACGGACGGACGGACGGACGGACGGACGGACGGACGGACGGACGACGGACGGACGACGGACGGACGGACGGACGGACGGACGGACGACGGACGGACGGACGGACGGACGGACGGACGGACGGACGGACGGACGGACGACGGACGGACGGACGGACGGACGGACGGACGGACGGACGGACGGACGGACGGACGGACGACGGACGGACGGACGGACGGACGGACGGACGGACGGACGGACGGACGGACGGACGGACGGACGGACGGACGGACGGACGGACGGACGGACGGACGGACGGACGGACGGACGGACGGACGGACGGACGGACGACGGACGGACGGACGGACGGACGGACGGACGGACGGACGGACGGACGGACGGAGACGGACGGACGGACGGACGGACGGACGGACGGACGGACGGACGGACGGACGGACGGACGGACGGACGGACGGAGGACGGACGGACGGACGGACGGACGGACGGACGGACGGACGACGGAGGACGGACGGACTACGGACGGACGGACGGACGGACGAGGACGGACGGACGGACGGACGGACGACGGACGGACGGACGGACGCGGACGGACGGACGGACGGACGGACGGACGGACGGACGGACGGACGGACGACGGACGGACGGACGGACGGACGGACGGACGAGGACGGACGACGACGGACGACGGACGGACGGACGACGGACGGACGGACGGACGGACGACGGACGGACGGACGGACGGACTGATACTTACTTACTTACGTACGTACTACTTACTTACTACGTACTTAACTTACTTACTTACTTAAGAATTGGAAAGGACCACTATTGATCACACAGATTTTGTACCTACTTTCAACATTTTGATGTCAGTCTATGATCGTTCTTAGATCTACAATATCGTCTATACTGATTGTTACTCCCTCAGTATAGACGTATTCCTACGTATCAATATTAAAATATCGCGTGAGAATAAAAATTGTCACCTTCAGAACCGCTCAGCATCTACAACTACAATAAAAATTTAATAAAATAAATCTACAAATTATCTCAATATCAAAGATTCTCTCCACTCCCGAATTTGTGAAAAGTTTGTGTTTCAAACCAGTTTGAATTATAAACTTTCTGTTTTCTAATATAAAATGATCTTAATGGTAAATTTGAATTCCAGGTAACACCAACAAATAAAATATTACGTTATCATGCCGATCCTGATAAACGTCCAATTATAATCAATCACAACGACAAAGAATTGGGTAAATTTCAATTTAATAAACTGACCGGTGATGAGACAACACTGAATGTTAGTCTACAACGACCAGATGCCAAGGAGCGTATCGCACTAATAGAAAATGGTTCGCTGTTGGTTAGCAATATAACGAGACGTGATAGTGGCCTTTATACATGCTATGCTTACAATGTTATGGGAAATGCTTCAGCATTTATAAGGTAATTTACACAATTGTTTGTATTATTTTACCCTAATAATTACCTTTTTTGTTTCCTATTCCCACAGACTACAAATAGATCCTATTGTTTTTTACCGCGTTAAAATTGGTAGTTTATTATCGGGTATAGCGGCGGCTACATCATTTTTATTATTGACCTTAATTGTACAAGGATTAAGAGCAATTTTCAATAAGTTGGTGACATTAAACATAAAACACAACAAAACCCATTAATAACTTATTTAATTTAATGTTATTATTGTTTGTTAAATTGTAGATATCGTTTTTGTGAAAAATTCTTCTGTTGTGCATCTCGTAGCAAACGTTCGCCGCGATTCGAAACAAATCTATGCTATGCTGGATAGTATAGAGACCTATAAAAGTCAACAGCTGGAAAAGTTAAGAGAAAATTATGCTCAACAGGTAAATTATTTAATAAATGCATATGGCAGAAAAGATATTTTAATTATTTTTTTATTTCTGTAATCCTAAGGTACATCGCATACGCGAGAATTGCACACAACAAGTGGAATGGATACAAAGTAGTTACACTTCTCAGGCGAAACATTTAAAAGAATTTCGTGATATTGGTTCAAATCATTTAACATCACTTAAAGATCAGTATTATGATCAGGTAGATCTCTTCTTTTTCATTTTCTTCTTTTATGGGAAATTAATTGATAAATTTTGTTTTATCTAAAGGTGAAAAAGGTTCGTGACTACTCGACTGGCCAATTGAATTGGGTACGTGAAAATTATGTCTTCCAACGCAATAAAATACGTAAATTCAGTGCTCATCAAGTGTTGCGTTTACGCGAAGGCTACAAATATCAACAGCAAAGTCTTAACAAAGTTTTAGAAAATTTACCCAGCTTTTATTTTGAAAATTGTCGTGGCCGTGGCGAAGAAGATATTGCAGAAGGTAAGTTGAGAAATAAATGGAAAATATGTAAATAATTAGATAGAAAAAGAATTTATTCAAAATTATCTAAAGAGAGTTTATCGAAGATTCACTAATGCAAGAGAATTTATCGAAAATACTTTAAGGAAAGAAAATTTAACGAAAATTCTCTTAAGAAGGAGAATTTATCGAAAATTCTCCAAAAAAAAAGAGAATTTTTCGAAACACTTCTAAAGAGATTATCAAAAATTCTCTAAAGAAAGAGAATTTATCCAAAGTTCTCCAAAGAAAGAGAAGTTATCGAAAGTTATCTAAAGAAAGAGAATTTATCGAAAATTCTCTGAAGAAAGAGAATTTATCGAAAATTCCCTAAAGAAAGAAATTTATCGAAAATTCTCTAAAGAAAGAGAATAGATAGATAGATAGATAGATAGATAGATAGATAGATAGATAGATAGATAGATAGATAGATAGATAGATAGAATAGATAGATAGATAGATAGATAGATAGATAGATAGATAGATAGATAGATAGATAGATAGATAGATAGATAGATAGATAGATAGATAGATAGATAGATAGATAGATAGATAGATAGATAGATAGATAATAGATAGATAGATAGATAGATAGATAGATAGATAGATAGATAGATAGATAGATAGATAGATAGATAGATAGATAGATAGATAGATAGATAGATAGATAGATAGATAGATAGATAGATAGATAGATAGATAGATAGATAGATAGATAGATAGATAGATAGATAGATAGATAGATAGATAGATAGATAGATAGATAGATAGATAGATAGATAGATAGATAGATAGATAGGTAGATAGATAGATAGATAGATAGATAGATAGATAGATAGATAGATAGATAGATAGATAGATAGATAGATAGATAGATAGATAGATAGATAGATAGATAGATAGATAGATAGATAGGATAGATAGATAGATAGATAGATAGATAGATAGATAGATAGATAGATAGATAGATAGATAGATAGATAGATAGATAGATAGATAGATAGATAGCTAGATAGATAGATAGATAGATAGATAGATAGATAGATAGATAGATAGATAGATAGATAGAATGATGGACAGATAGTTAAATGTATGGGCGGGTAGGGTCCATGATTGCTATCTAAAGTGGTTCTATTTACATCTGTTGTTGAACCATTTAATTTCCCGAAATACCTTAAACTAACCTCACAAATCTTCCAAATTTCTCCTTTCTAGACATAGATTTTTACTTCAAACAAAAAATGGCAGCAACCGGTGATCCACATCTGCACTATCATTTTCGCTATGCAAATCAAAATCATCCCCTTTCCTCCATACACAACTCTTTCAATTCCAAAGATGTCAAAGATTTACAATTACTGAAAACCAAACTAATGGCAGCCAATAATTCAGCAAGCAAAGCTTCCATATACTATACACCACCGGAAGTGGAAGACAACCTAAGACACTCCCAATTGAATTTACAAACTTCACCCATACACATCAACTACATCAATGAGAATCTCGAACATAGAAATCTAGATTTCCGAATGCAGCCAAGAGCATTTTTAATCAATACACCCATGCAATTGGAAAGTCCCACAACCATTAATAATCTAGCCAGTATGGATGATACGACTACAGCTTTGAATCAATTGAAAATCACAGCAGAACATCCTTTGGGTGCGGGCAGTATAGAGGATAATCATTATGCAGCTACCATGGCCGATAAGTTTGCAGCAGCAAGTGGCAGTAGTAATAATGGCAAACAAAGACATTCATTTTATGAAGGTAAAGTTAAAATACCTAAAATTTTGTAATTAAATTTAATTGATTTTTATATTTTATTGCATTTTAGATTGTGCCCTGGGTGATAGTAATATAGAGCTCAATGAAATACGTGATTATAAAGATACTAATGATGTGAAAAACTCCAAATCATGTCCTGTCATATATAAAGTTTCCAGACAAAACGATGGCACTACCGTACACGAACTACTTACGGAAGATTTGAGCAAAGGTTTACGTTTGAATAAACCTTTGCAGGAGTCAGAATTGCAAGAGACCCCATTGCATCATAAACCCTTAAAGGAAACCGAGAAACTCAATATTATTTTAGATGAAAACGGTAAATCTACATTGTATGATGTCTCACTACCGGCCACAATAAAAGCAGATAATATTAAAAAAGACATAAAACCTTTAGGTTTAGATTTAACATCTAATGTGGCCAATAGTAGAACTACAGCCGGATGTGATCACCTTAAAAGAGATTTTGATAGTTTAAACTATAGAGATGATAATATACCCACAACCTCGGCCTCTGCATCGAACTTATTGTCTTCAGGCCTAACAACACCCCTGTCACCATCCTCGCCCACTTCAGCGTCTTGTAATGAAGATTAGTGTAGCTGTTTAGTATAATTTTTGCAGTTTGTAATAAGTTTAGAGAGATTATTAGTTCTTTTTTCGGTTTTTTGTTGTTTTCTTTTTTATTTAAATTTTATTTTAAGAAAAAATGCAAGTAAAAGATTTTCTTTTTTAAAATTCATACAAACATTAACAAACACATAAATATATTGTTTAATAAAATTATTAAAAAGAATATAAAACTTAGTGAATGGAAAAAATCAAACCCAAATTACTAAAAATATATACAAAAATACATTATTAACTTTTATGCTGCATATTAAATAAGACAGATAAATATTTAAAAACAAAAAAAATCAAGTCAAAAATACAATGGCAAGTTAATTAAATATTTAAACTTCCTGTAACGTATATATTTAAAAAAACAGTACATTAATTAGTTTTGAAAGTAGATTTTTAATAATCACTAGAGTATAAAACCAACATCAGCTTAAAACCCTGATACCTATACACACATTATTAATTTGGAAAATTACGAAAAGAGAAAAACAAAAATTTGTTAGTTTAACTTTCTTGTCACAATTTAGCCTTTGGCCAAGAAAGTTTACACATTTCAAAAAAAAAAAAAAAAAACAAACAAAAAATATTTATAAAATAAAATAATTTTGTTAGTTAATATTTCCATTTAAATAGTGGAAATTTGCTGCAGGTTCATTTATAAAAAAAAAATTTTGTAACAAAAAAATATTATGAAAACTTATCTCATAATCATAAAACAAAATATATCATTGTGATTTTTAAATAAACCTCCCCTGTTTTAAAATAAAAAAAAATATTAAAAAAAAATATCCCTCTTTAAACATAAAATAAATGTTTAATGAATTAATGAAATTTTAAAAAAAGAAATACCTAAATCAGTAAAAAAAATTATTTAAAACGAATAGAATTCATTAAAAATTTATTAAGAAAAAACTTAAAAAATGGCAAATTAACAACCGCATTGATACAAAATTAAAAAGAAAAAAAAAAAAAACAAATGTATAACATGTGTCTGATAAGAAATTTAAACAATAAATAAAGAAAGTAAATCATTTCACATTTCAAAAACAAACCAAAAAATAATGTGTTTTTATTTCAAAAAGGTAAAAGGTTATAAACAATTTCTAATTAAAATGAATTTAACAAAAATTCTCTAAAGTAAGAGAATTTATCGGAAAATCTCTAAAGTAAGAGAATTTATCGGAAAATCTCTAAAGAAAGAGAATTTATCGAAAATTCTCTAAAGAAATAGAATTTATCGCAAAATCTCTAAAGGAAGCGAATTTATCGCAAAATCTCTAAAGGAAGAGAATTTATCGAAAATTCTCTAAAGAAAGAGAATTTATCGAAAATTCTCCTAAAGAAAGAGAATTTATCGAAAATTCTCCTAAAGAAAGAGAATTTATCGAAAATTCTCCTAAAGAAAGAGAATTTATCGAAAATTCTCTAAATAAAGAGAATTTATCGAAAATTCTCTAAATAAAGAGAATTTATCGAAAATTCTCTAAATAAAGAGAATTTATCGAAAATTCTCTAAAGAAAGAGAATTTATCGAAAATTCGCTAAAGAAACAGAATTTCTCTAAGGAAAATTTATCGAAAATTCTCTAAAGAAAGAGAATTTATCGAAAATTCTCTAAAGACAGAATATACTCTAATGAAACAAGATTTTTCGAAGATTTTCTAAGAGAATTTATCGAACATTTTCTAAAAAAAACTGAATATATCGAAAATTCCCTAAAGAAAGGGAATTTATCGAAAATTCCCTAAAGAAAGGGAATTTATCGAAAATTCCCTAAAGAAAGGGAATTTATCGAAAATTCCCTAAAGAAAGGGAATTTATCGAAAATTCCCTAAAGAAAGGGAATTTATCGAAAATTCCCTAAAAAAAGGGAATTTATCGAAAATTCTCTAAAAATAGGGAATTTATCGAAAATTCCCTAAAAAAAGGGAATTTATCGAAAATTCTCTAAAGAAAGGGAATTTATCGAAAATTCTCTAAAGAAAGAGAATTTATAGAAAATTCTCTAAAGAAAGAGAATTTATCGAAAATTCTCTAAAGAAAGAGAATTTATCGAAAATTATCTAATGAAGTAGAATTTATTGAAAATGATCAAAAATTCTCTAAAGAAAGAGAATTTATCGAAAATTCTCTAAAGAAACAGAATTTCTCTAAAGACAATTTATCGAAAATTCTCTAAAGAAAGAGAATTTATCGAAAATTCTCTAAAGACAGAAAATTCTCTAAAGAAACAAAATTTTTCGAAAATTTTCTAAGAGAATTTATCGAATATTTTCTAAAAAAACTGAATTTATCGAAAATCCCCTAAAGGAAGAGAATTTATCGAAAATTCCCTAAAGAAAGAGAATTTATCGAAAGTTCCCTAAAGAAAGAGAATTTATCGAAAATTCCCTAAAGAAAGAGAATTTATCGAAAATTCTCTAAAGAAAGAGAATTTATCGAAAATTCTCGAAAGAAAGAGAATTTATAGAAAATTCTCTAAAGAAAGAATTTATCGAAAATTCTCTAAAGAAAGAGAATTTATCGAAAATTCTCTAAAGAAAGAGAATTTATCGAAAATTCACTAAAGAAAGAGAATTTATCGAAAATTCTCTAAAAAAAGAGAATTTATCGAAAATTCTCTAAAGAAAGAGGATTTATCAAAAATGCTCTAAAGAAAGAGAATTTATCGAAAATGATCTAAAGAAAGAGAATTTATCGAAAATTCTCTAGAGAAAGAGAATTATCGAAAATTCTCTAAAGAAAGAGAATTTATCAAAAATGCTCTAAAGAAAGAGAATTATCGAAAATTCTCTAAACAAGGAGAATTTATAGAAAATTCTCTGCCGAATTCTCTATCGAAAATTCTTTAAAAAGAGGAATTTATCGAAAATTCTCTAGAAAAAGAGAAAAGCAATAGAGGTTATCAAAAATTCTCTAAAAAGAGAAATTATTGAAAATTCTCTAAAGAAAGAGAATTTATTAAAAATCTTTAAAGAAAGAGAATTAAATGAAAATTTTCTGTAGAAAGAGAATTTCTATCTAAGGAAAGAATATTTATCGAAAATGTTCATTAAGTTTCGATAAGTTCTTTCTTTATAGAAAAATAATTTATCGTAAATTCTCTAAATAGAATATATCAAAAATTTTATAAAGGAAAATAATTCTTTCTCTAAAGTAAAAAAAATTTATTGAAAATTCCTAAGAAAAGGAATTTATCTAAAATTCTTGAAAGAAAAGGTATTTATCGAAAATTTTGCCAAAACATCGATTTATTCCATCCCTATTTTTCAATTTTGTAGAAAAATAATAAAACCAGTGGCAACTCTATAAACAACCGGTCACAGCTGTTTGTGACATTTACCTTATCAGTAATAATTCTCTCTCTTTCATTATACTATTCCTTTAGCAATTCTTTTTCTTGTGGCATTTTATTATTGGTTGTGTTGTTGGTATACGTTTTTGTGAATCAGTAGTAAATTGGAAATGCATTTCTTAATTTAATTAGTAATTAATAATATAGTGCAAAGAAATAGAAAACTGTATCATTTCATCGTTAGTTCAAGATAATTACAATAAAAAGGCTTTAAAATGAACTACACTTGTTTAGCCCTAAATGGTGTAATATCAGTGGCGGCCTATTTAATGGCCATCCGCATAATACCACGGTTCCGTGAAATGTTTATCAAGGCTAATCTCTATGGCAAAGATTTGTGCAAGAAAGATCAAACTCAAGTGTAAGTATGATTAACCAAGTGACTGCATATAGCTCAAGCGATAAACTATTTCAATTATCTAGGCCCGAATCCTTGGGGGTTTTAATTGGTTGCGTTTTTTTGGTGGCCATGTTTTTATTTATACCCGTGCCTTTTACCCTAGAAGAAACAGCCGCCATGGATGCCACTACCGGCGGTAAACCCTCAACTTTTCCCCACGAAGAATTTGTTGAACTTATTGTGGCATTACTGTCCATTTGTTGTATGATATTACTGGGTTTTGCTGATGACGTATTGGATTTGAGATGGCGCCATAAACTTATGTTACCCACCATGGCCACACTACCTTTACTTATGGTCTATTATGTAAATTACAATTCCACCACCGTTATAATGCCGAAATTTGTACGTTCCTTTGTGGGAGAATCTTTAGATATAGGTAGGTTTGTTTTTTTTTTTTTTTTTGTTACCGTCGAAAGTGTTCAATTTTAAATGTTTATTGTTTTATATATTTTTAAGGTGTCTTGTATTATATTTATATGGGCATGTTGGCGGTGTTCTGTACAAATGCTATTAATATATTGGCCGGTATAAATGGTTTGGAGGTGGGACAATCTATTATCATAGCCGGTTCTATATTGGTGTTCAATGTCATCGAATTGTATTTGGGTCATCAAATTGATGGTCATAAATTTAGCATTTACCTTATGCTGCCATTCCTTGCAGTCTCTTTGGCACTTTGGAAATATAACAAGTGAGTACCATTTAATGTTTTTATTATTATCATATTACTGATAGAGTTATCTTATCAGTTTGTAATGTATTAATTGGGTGAAAGTTTTTTAAAGTTGCGTTCTTTATAACTTCGAAATTATTTAGTTTTTGAAGAACTTTTATGCATTTATCACCGTCTTAGTGCGAATAGGTACACGTGTATTTTAAAACAACAACTTATCAAGGGATGTACAAATATGTTCAAATAAATTTCCAATTGAAAATTAACTTATTTGCCTAGAATATTACAAGAAAAATGTAAAAATGTAGACTCTGTACAACCAAATCAGCTTTTAGCAGAACGATATTGGAACTCATAATCCCGCCCTAATTTATAGAATTTATTCTGTGGAACATTGTTGTTATTCTAAAGTACATTAAGGAACCAGTTAAAATGAGTCTTAATCTAACAATTTTTAACAAAAACCGGCGAATCTAGGAAATTTACCAAGAAACTGTATTTCTTTTCTAAAGCTTTCCTAGTACATGAGAATGTCAATTCGAAGAAAATTCAAGATAGATAGATAGATAGATAGATAGATAGATAGATAGATAGACAGACAGATAGATAGATAGATAGATAGATAGATAGATAGATAGATAGATAGATAGATAGATAGATAGATAGATAGACAGATAGATAGATAGATAGATAGATAGATAGATAGATAGATAGATAGATAGATAGATAGATAGATAGATAGATAGATAGATAGATAGATAGATAGATAGATAGATAGATAGATAGATAGATAGATAGATAGATAGATAGATAGATAGATAGATAGATAGATAGATAGATAGATAGATAGATAGATAGATAGATAGATAGATAGATAGATAGATAGATAGATAGATAGATAGATAGATAGATAGATAGATAGATAGATAGATAGATAGATAGATAGATAGATAGATAGATAGATAGATAGATAGATAGATAGATAGATAGATAGATAGATAGATAGATAGATAGATAGATAGATAGATAGATAGATAGATAGATAGATAGATAGATAGATAGATAGATAGATAGATAGATAGATAGATAGATAGATAGATAGATAGATAGATAGATAGATAGATAGATAGATAGATAGATAGATAGATAGATAGATAGATAGATAGATAGATAGATAGATAGTTGGATCCATCGTGGTAATTCGAAATTTTTTTGGAGGCAGTGGCAAATGGGGTTGTTTACCCCTGTTCAGCTCCACCACAATTTCCCAAGATTTTATGAAAATAAAACAAAATATTTGCAAATTTAATGAGACGTAGATCTCTCTGTATTTATTTATTATTATTATTTTACCTCGTAGAAGCAATAACGCCAAGAGCACGTAGTGCTTATGTTGACGATCAGAAAAAAAGAGTTTTTTAATTTACAAAACGTAGATTGGTGGCAAACAATATTTAGGTACCGTTAACGGTTTACTCGTTAGAAATTTCCAACAAAGTTGTAAATAAAGCGGAGCTTAATAAGATTCTAACGTTGCAAAAAATAGTATTTGCATATGTTATCAAAACAAGTGTAAACCATAAATCGAACTTGAACATTGCCGGCCACCTTGCAACACTAAAGAGTGTTGCAATTAACATTGAGATCTATATCTATAAATTTATTGTTTTTTTTTTTATTCTTTTTTGTTAATATTTTTTTTTTTTTTTTTTATAAAACAAGTGATCAAAGGTATCACACCAGACTGGGCTGGTAAAATAATGGTTCCCATAGAACAAAGCCTATGGGATGTAGTTTTCCGCAGACTACATACTGCTCTCAAATGAGAATGGTTTTAAAGCAGACCATGAACTGGGTTCGTAGAAAAAGGGTTCCCATAGGACAAAGCCTATGGGATGTAGTTTTCCGCAGACTACATACTGCTCTCAAATGGAGAATGGTTTTAAGCAGACCATGAACTGGGCCCCTTAAAGAGGGGCATGGTCATAAATGACCCAACCACAAAGTGGTGTATTTAAATTTAGTATGTGTATTAAAGTAGACGTAAATATATTCTTGTGAGCATTTTAAATGATATTCAAACAAACGTTAAGAAGCGTTAGACCACGTAGTGTATTGTAAATTTGCGATATGTGATTCAAAGTCCCTAGGATTGGCTGGTCCTGTCAGAATCCAGCCAAATACAGTTTTTTGTGCCAATAATGACCCTAATATATTTTGCTGTACTTCCGGTAAAATTATACGATGATATAAATCCGCACCAATAAGAATATCTACAGGCCTACTATCTAAAAGATTAGAATCCGCCAAACGAAGATTTGGCAATAACTTTTTAATATCGATATTTACGGAAGTTGAAGGCAAATTTCCTGAAATTTTTGGTAAAACAAATGCGTTTGTACTAAGGTTTACTGAAGAGTCTAAATCGGAACCAATTTCCACAGGACAATATTTAGAAACTCCAATAACTACATTATTGATGCCAGAAACTTGAGCGTGTGCAGAATGCGTGGAAAGTTTTAACCTTTTCCGTAATCGTTCAGAAATGTAAGAGCATTCCGAACCCGAATCAATTAAAGCGCGGACCTGATGCTTATTGTTATTATGAATTATATTTACCGTAGCTGTGCCTAATAGAACAGACTGGTTTTGACTAGTATGAAATACTTGTGAATTGGGCGTTACATTATTGGACGTATGTGATTGTTGGTAGTGGGAGTTAGTAGGTCGTAGAACCGCACCAGAGTTCTGTTCCGTAGAAACAGTAGGTCTTTCAACCACAGAATTTTCTAAATGTTGTAAATGAAGCATCGAGTGATGTCGATTATTGCATATATAACAATTATTATTGATTTTGCAACTTCTGGCGGTATGTGTCCTCGAAAGACAATTAGTGCAGAAGTTATGCTCATTCACTGTTGAAATTCTATCAGATATTGAAAGACTTTTAAAACGACGACAATTTCGCAAGTAGTGGGACTGATTAGGACATAAAATACAAGAAATTTTAACGGAAGAATTGTGAGATTGCAATGAAGATTCCATATTAGTGGAGTTTGTACCTTTAATTTCTTGAAGACATTGCAAAGTCAGAATTCTTTCCTTCAGAAAATTATCTAAATCTTTCCATGAAGATAAACTTAATTTGTCCTTAATGCCCTGTTCCCATAAAATAATTGTTGAACTAGGTAGACGTTGAATACACATAAACACGATAATTGGGTCCCAATTATCTGTAGGCACATTGTAAATAGAAAGTGCCGTAAGAAAACTATCGATTCCGTTCTGTAAGGTTTTGAGTGCTGTGATCGACTCCTTGTCAAAGGCAGGAAGACTAAATAAAAGCTTTAGTTGGTTATGCACCAACATACGAGGATTCTCATATGTATTCCTTAAATCGCGCCAAGCTAACTCAAAACTATTATTATTTAATGGATATCTTGAAACGATTGTTTTAGCTTCACCCTCGGTTTTCCGTATTAAATGGCAAAGACGTTCTATATTGCTAAGCCGCGAGCTATTAATGTAAATTGCGGTAAATAAATCCCTAAAAGCGGGCCATGAAACATAATCCCCTACGAAAGAGTCGATATCGCATGGAGGGAGCGTCAGATTATGCTCTGAATTATCGGAATTCAAATTCGCTGTTGGAGGTTCATTAGTTTTTGAAGCGGATTCCAATGTTCTTATTTTCTTAGAAATAGATCCTCCACATTCAATATATTCATAAGATGTGGCTTGATATTTTTCCGCTACCACTTTAAATTCACTAGACTCTAGAGTGTTAAGACATACTTCGTACGTCGAATTAACTTTGTCCCAAAGTCTTTCTAACTCCCGTTTCCGAATCTCCAACTTAAAAACGTCATGCAATTCATCATCTAAATTATCAAACCTCACGCGGTATGCAACGAGAGCATCCGATGCTCTAATAAACGCATTTAGTGACGTGACCGACATTTTTAATATTTAAAAATTGTAATAAAAATAGATGAATTAATAACTCGATATTAAACTACGAATTGACTACAAAATTTATATCAACAAACTTGATAATAGTCAAACTGACCGACCGTAGGGTACCCAATATAAGGGAAGAACAAGAATACACCGTAATGTATTTTGTTGGTAGAATTTACAGATGTAAATCTGTAAACAAACAAACGCACAAAAGAAATGTAATGAAACACTAATTTATAATAAAATAAGATCAACAATATCGCTTTAAATTATTGTCCGTAAGATCAAAAGAATTTAAATATTTTTTGATATAAATTAAAGTTAAAATTAGTGCAAAATATCCACAAATACAACAAGTTAAACCAATTAAAAAACCACAAAAAATATGTGTGTGTGATCGCGAAACAACTATAGAATTTTTTATCACTTGCTCACAATTGAAATATATTTACGTACCTTATTTCGTAGAAATTTCGTAAAAATTAATAAAAAATATATCTTCGGTGGACTGTATGTTTTCCAAGGGATGATGGAGTGAAGATGCCAAAAATCCGTATATGATACCCAAAAAATCCGGTTCGGTTGGACCAAATGTTCAGCTCCACCACAATTTCCCAAGATTTTATGAAAATAAAACAAAATATTTGCAAATTTAATGAGACGTAGATCTCTCTGTATTTATTTATTATTATTATTTTACCTCGTAGAAGCAATAACGCCAAGAGCACGTAGTGCTTATGTTGACGATCAGAAAAAAAGAGTTTTTTAATTTACAAAACGTAGATTGGTGGCAAACAATATTTAGGTACCGTTAACGGTTTACTCGTTAGAAATTTCCAACAAAGTTGTAAATAAAGCGGAGCTTAATAAGATTCTAACGTTGCAAAAAATAGTATTTGCATATGTTATCAAAACAAGTGTAAACCATAAATCGAACTTGAACAACCCCTTTAATCTTCTGAAAAGTTCCAGATCTGATTCCTGTCTGGACAGTCCCAATTTATCACAGTGCCCTGGTACCCAACATGAATGTACCTACCTAATAAAGCCACAAACGCTCTTTTATAGATTTAAAAAATATTCGACCATAACATCAAATCGAACAATTTTCCTACTACTATTGCATTGTTATCTGGTGTTGAAAAGTTCCAAATTTTAGCTATACCTAAACATACATTCTAACTCATCAAATTTTATAGTTCAATCATTTCACTATGTACTTGTTGAGAATATGAATGACATTTTCTTTCTATTACCTGTTTCTGAGACTTCCCAACATACGATCATAATATTGTAAATCAAATAATATTCTAAGAAGATTGATTTATATTACACTGAAAACTGGCCCCACTCCATTTATTAAACTTGTGCTTTAATTAAACATGTGATTTTAAGCATGAAACTCAGATAAAGATCACAATATTTTTAATTTTGTTAACTGATGTTCAAATATAATATTAATTTTTTCAGTGTGTTAGTGAAATGCCACTAAATTAAACGAAATTTAAAAGTTAGTGTAAATACGGTATGAAATCAAAGTGAAAAGGTGTTTCAAACATAATCTATAAACATTTTACATTTTAACAGTATGAAAAGTGTAAGCATTACACTGTGCACAGTCCAACACCGGTTGCAGTAAACAAAGAAATAAAAACAAAACAAAATAATGTAGTAAATAGAAATAAAAAGAAAAAATGTTATTTAGGGGAAGTAAAATCAGCTGTTCAAAATATAAAAACACAGCTGTAAGAGCAAAGTAAAAAATAATGAACCCCTACTGACACCACCCCACCAACGACATCATTCTCAGCGCTAACACCACAAGATACTCAGACTGAAAAAAAACAGCAACAAAAACAATGACAACAAACAGACGGTGAATACAACAACGTAGAACAAGGCACATACAAATAGCAAAGTATTCTAAAGAAAAAGGCATACAAAACGTAAAATGTATAAAGTTTTTGTGTAGTATCTTTACATGGGTGTGTGCTGGAAAAATTAAAATTTTATCGAACAAATCTGTATGGGATAAAATGAAAAATTAAATCATTATACCAGTGGATCACATACAAATGCATTTACGTTTAAGTTCAACGCAGCACAATGGAATAGAGTTGCATGATGGTTCCAAGGAGATGATGCAACTACTTAAACCTGCCACGCCAACGAATACTAATCAGCAGGTGCAGCAGCAGCTGCTGCATAATCAACACAATCACCTTCACCAACATCACCACCAGCAGCAGACATTTACAAAAGGGACCTGGACTAAGAGATTTATATTATGGTCAATATTACTAATACAATTTGGATTCATACTATGTTTTTGGTTAATGCAATTGGGCTTAAGTGATAAACTAAATGAAACGACTGGCTCAAATCATGAGTTGGAGGAGAATAGAATCAATTTTGTGCAATCGGCAGCGTTGAAGGCTTCCCAAAAACTAAGACCAGAAGGTAAAGTGCTTGAAGTAACAAATTTCCAATGGCCTTCTAGAGATCTTAAGTTTCAAAATGAATTTTTGTTACACAAAAACAACTACAATCTCTCGGAAGCTGAGAAGATTATGTTTGGCGAAACTGCTCTATGGTGTTTTAAAGAAGGCACCGTAAATGAGACTAGACTGAAAGGAAGTATAGAATGGGATGATTCTAATCCTTGGCAAGAAAATTGTGAATGTTGGCCAGAGTGGCATGGCAGAGACTGTGGTCAACCAGAGGTTATTTGGAGAGCCTTATTAACTGCTAAAATGCCCTACAAAGTTAAGGACCCCACCAGGGAGGAAGCCCACCGCTTGGTTTATATGTTGGAAGGTGCTTTTTTGAATTTAGATTTAATGGAATTGCAGATTAAAGCTGTCACTAAGGTTGTGGACTATTTTATAGTATATTTAAAAAGGCATCCTATAAATAACAAGGATCTTAAAGCAATTAAATTTAGATTAAAACAAATGTTACCTATGAAAAATTATTTTTTGTATCACTGTAAACTACCCTCATATAATAATTGCTCTTCAGCTGAGGCCTATCGCCTTTTCAGGCAACAACAATTGCCCACAAATGCCATAAAACCCACAGATATATTCATTTTTACGGACGACAAAACCATCTTGGGTCATCGAGCTTTAAATTTTCTTAAATACTATGGTTCTGATTTAGCACCCGTCATACAATTTCGTTTGAAATTTACCATCTATGGATTTTATTGGCAACATCCTCAACAAACTTATCTCAGTGGTCTCATAAGTTCCTTTCAAAACATCGATAATGCAGATGCAAATCCAACGCTTCTACTAACACAAATTACCTCTCAACATCACCAACAACAGCCATCCTTGGTTATAGGAGATTTAAACCATTTTGGTGGTTGGTTTTGTAAATATTGTCAAGAACCTGATGAAATTATTGCCGAGTTGCATCTATCACAAAGTTCCTCTAACCATAAATTAACATCGAACTCAACATTAACTGCCTCATCAGCGACATCGGCACCATCACCCTCAAAGTCAATTCAAAATACTGTGGTATTTCCCGCGGATAAAAAACATTCATCTCACATAGATGCCGCCTATGTGCAACAACTCATCTCGACAGGTATCTATCTAAAAGATGGTAAAACTCAATTACAAAAGGTACGTCGTTTTTCCGATAAATATTATGCTCCTCATTATGCCTCCGAACAAAGCTGGAAGTATGGTCATTTGTTAATAAATATTTATGAATCTTTGGAAGACTTGCTGGCCAGCGATAATGAAGATGAAATGTTTTAAAACCATAGGCATGTAAATAGTAAATTAGTTAAAATGGAAAACAATCGTCAGGATCTGTGCTACTTGGTATGCAACTATTTTTTAAATAGTTGACGACAATAGCATAGACCCAATGAAGTGAATTGCTTGCGAAAATCTTTCGAAAAGATTTAAATTTTATTCAATTAAGCCAAATTGTTTAATCGTACAAAAAACGATGAAATATTATTATTACATTTAAGTGAAATAATTACATTTAGTAGAGAAACATTTCTACAGGTACATATACAGAATTTCAAAGTAATAAAGTCAATGTGAACGGAAAACTGTTAACTCACTTTCAAGGCCTTTAAATGAACAAACATTTTATTCCAGAACTATGATTTCTCTTTGAAAATTTGTCCGATTTAGCGATGCTCTAAATGTATTCTCAAGTCTCTGGATTTCGACTTTTTTCAAATGTTGACGGGCTGTTTTATCTTTCTACAAAAAATATTCCATAACTTTTCTTTCCACAGAGAATTTATGATAAATTTATTTAAGAGAAATTTCGTGGAAATTTCTCCAATTTTTCGATAAATTCTCTTTCTATATATAGTTTCTCCTTCAATAGACTAGATTATAGACTAGACTTTAGACTAGATTATAGACTAGACTATAGACTAGGACTATAGACTAGACTAGACTATAGACTAGACTAGACTATAGACTAGACTATAGACTAGACTATAGACTAGACTATAGACTAGACTATAGACTAGACTATAGACTAGACTATAGACTAGACTATAGACTAGACTATAGACTAGACTATAGACTAGACTATAGACTAGACTATAGACTAGACTATAGACTAGACTATAGAAGACTAGACTATAGACTAGACTATAGACTAGACTATAGACTAGACTAGACTATAGACTAGACTATAGACTAGACTATAGACTAGACTATAGACTAGACTATAGACTAGACTATAGACTAGACTATAGACTAGACTATAGACTAGACTATAGACTAGACTATAGACTAGACTATAGACTAGACTATAGACTAGACTATAGACTAGACTATAGACTAGACTATAGACTAGACTATAGACTAGACTATAGACTAGACTAGACTATAGACTAGACTATAGACTAGACTAGACTATAGACTAGACTATAGACTAGACTAGACTATAGACTAGACTATAGACTAGACTAGACTATAGACTAGACTATAGACTAGACTAGACTATAGACTAGACTAGACTATAGACTAGACTATAGACTAGACTATAGACTAGACTATAGACTAGACTAGACTATACTATAGACTAGACTATAGACTAGACTATAGACTAGACTATAGACTAGACTATACTATAGACTAGACTATACTATAGACTAGACTATACTATAGACTAGACTATACTATAGACTAGACTATACTATAGACTAGACTATACTATAGACTAGACTATACTATAGACTAGACTATACTATAGACTAGACTATACTATAGACTAGACTATACTATAGACTAGACTATACTATAGACTAGACTATACTATAGACTAGACTATACTATAGACTAGACTAGACTATACTATAGACTAGACTATACTATAGACTAGACTATACTATAGACTAGACTATACTATAGACTAGACTATACTATAGACTAGACTATACTATAGACTAGACTATACTATAGACTAGACTATACTATAGACTAGACTATACTATAGACTAGACTATAGACTAGACTATAGACTAGACTATAGACTAGACTATAGACTAGACTATAGACTAGACTATAGACTAGACTATAGACTAGACTATAGACTAGACTATAGACTAGACTATAGACTAGACTATAGACTAGACTATAGACTAGACTATAGACTAGACTATAGACTAGACTATAGACTAGACTATAGACTAGACTATAGACTAGACTATAGACTAGACTATAGACTAGACTATAGACTAGACTATAGACTAGACTATAGACTAGACTATAGACTAGACTATAGACTAGACTATAGACTAGACTATAGACTAGACTATAGACTAGACTATAGACTAGACTATAGACTAGACTATAGACTAGACTATAGACTAGACTATAGACTAGACTATAGACTAGACTATAGACTAGACTATAGACTAGACTATAGACTAGACTATAGACTAGACTATAGACTAGACTATAGACTAGACTATAGACTAGACTATAGACTAGACTATAGACTAGACTATAGACTAGACTATAGACTAGACTATAGACTAGACTGGAATATAGACTAGACTAGAGAAATGTCAAAATGTACATCAAAATCTAATGATAAAAAATCGTAGATTTCCGTAGAATTTAATTGTTTAAAAAAGTGTATGTTCTTAAAGCTCCCTTAAATGTTTAACATCCAGTATTTACCTCGTACTCTATTGAATTCTCTGCTGATATTTTCAGCTCTTACAATCTTCAAATATTAATTTTGGGTTTAACAATAAAAAATTGAGAAAATTGTACTTTTTCTTAAAGAAAATACAAAATAAATGTTCCTTAAACGAATTTTGTAATTATAAAATCATCAATGAAATAATTTATCTCATGTCATGTCATTAATTGTAATTTATTAATTGTGCCTGCTAATCCAATTTATTAATACCTTAATAATCAACCAAAAATAAGTATAAATAAGTTATATAAAAAAATCTTTAATTATGTTTTTAAATTGTGAGAGATAAATGAAATCGAAAATTGACTAAAATTAATGGAAATTCAAATAAATTCTTTAAAATGAAATAAATAGTAATTATCAGAGTGTTTCTCTCATATGAATTGTTCATGGATCAACAGATCGGCTAGAAATATTCAATATAATCGTTTCATTTTTTCTCTCATGAAGACATATTAGAAAAATCATGGAATTTAAACAGCTTATATCGCTTTAATTCAAAATCTAACTCACATATCACATAAAACAATTAATATTTATATTAACAAACCCCCAAATTGATTCTCCTACACAATTATTAATTATCTCTCTCCCTATCTCTCATGCAACACATAGTACATTATAACACCCCTTAAAAAACACATATTTACTTATAATTATTATAGACTTATTAAATGTTAATTGTATTCGTATTAATATTAAAAAATCATTGGAAAATAATTTAAATATAATACAAACCCCATGATCTGCCTTAAGTTATATTATTATTGAACTTATAATATTATTAAGTCTATGTATAACCTACATTTTGTGTCTTTAGTCTCCCAAAGAATTTCTTCCTTTCTCGTACACACTACCACACATAAACAATATTCAAATATAACCAAATAAACAAAACTCTTATAATTGTTTATAATTTCTTGAAAATAAACCGAATAAAATAAAATTCAAATATAACCAAATAAACAAAACTCTTATAATTGTTTATAATTTCTTGAAAATAAACCGAATAAAATAAATGCTGTGATACAACTAATTAAACAAATGAAATGTTTATAACAAATATATGATTTATTTATGTGACACCATTATAAACAATTTAATTGGTCCTTAATAATACATATAAATGTATATTTAATTTGTAATAGTTCTGGTCTTAATGCAAATATTTCATTTAATTGTGATTATTCGTTTAATTAATTTATATAAATCGAATTTAATTTTATATTACAATAAACAAAAGCATTTGTTAATTTAAACACACCAAACAAAAAATGTAAGAGTAATTAGTATTTAGTTGTAAATTTAGCAAATTATTTTAGTTAATAATAGTTTATCATTTAAATTAAGTATTCTATGTATTTGTAAACCCTTTGTGTTGTTTAAATAAAATTATATTAAAATATATAAATTGAATTTGAATTCGAAATAGAGTACCTGGTTTAGTACCGATTCCGGCAGTGATTTGCAGTGCATATGTTAGATTTTGTTATTGTTTTAACAGTTCAACTGCAGCCCATAGTTCTTATCTGGGAAAAACTTTCAGTTGTAACAGTTTTCACTGAGTTGACAATCACGGATCATTCTGAACATAGATCTCATAATCGTTGGAGCGTTAATTTGAGTTAATAAATGAGTTCCCTTGTATTACCCAGAAACAGGTCATGTCCCGACCCTTATGACCACTATGTCTGGTATATTATTATTAATATTTTATGAATATCAACTATCGAATATGGACTATCCATAGAAATGTTCGTAAATTACGATAAAGCAGAAAAGAAGCAAAGAAATGCTCCACTGTTTACTCTTTGATGTCACTGTGACAGCTTCTATGGAAGAAGTTAAAATAGAGATTCATGTAAGGATGAACCTCATTCCATAATACCCAATACCCATTATCGCGCTGATCTGTGACAATAAAAGAAATTGTTAATCATTGTAGTCTTGGTAGCGAAAATAAGGTCTCTTTGTCTTCACTGTGGTAGTTTCTATAAAAGATTCATGTAAGGAAGAAGTCATCGAATGATTATCACCAATACCCGGTCGTCACTGTTTTCCGCAATCGAAACCGTTTGCTAGTCCCATCATTGTATCTAATCTGCGACAAACAAAGATACTGTCAATCATGGCAGACTTGGTTTCAACAAAATCGAATATAACTCTCAGTATTTGTTTACTCCGTGTCAGTTTTCAGCAATTGAAACCGTTTGTTAATCACATCATCGCTGCTGATCTGCGCCAATCATCGTGGTATTCTTCGTAGCGAAAATATGGCCAAGGATTCACAAATCAGTCCCGATGTTGTGTATTCACCAGACATACATATATTTACATATAAGCTTTTATTAAAGACTTAAATCCATACGTTAGGTTGGTAAGATAGTGATAAAACTGGAGCGAAAAATAATCGTATGACCGATCCCTGTTGGACTTAAAACCATCCTTATATATACATAGATATAAGTCATCTCAATCATAATGTTAAAAGACCCGTCCGGTATCATAACAGTAAATCGTTTGCCTAAAAGAAGGGAAGTTGTCAATATTAGTGGGAATTTAATAAGTGTTTGCCAAAGTAATCGAATGTCGCGATTGTTATGCGATGATTTACGTTGATTCAATTGAAAACTACAGTGTTCTTCTCGGCCCCTAAAAGCAGTTAAACGGGCAGCGGTATGAAAGAAGCCGAAGTAAGGTTGACTTCAAACACCATTACGGTCAATGGCGACATGCCACCACCCACCAAGGGCAGTGGTAGTTTGTATTAAGGTGTTTCATGTTATCGAAACGACATGTGATAAAATATTTTCAAAAACTTCGGCCGAATATTTGTCCCATGAGAAATTAGCTGTAGTTGAAGAACGTATGTAACCTAATGAACCTTAAATAATCATCGATCATAGCAACTCCTGAGATATAGAGTCAAGATAATTGATTTTTTGTGGACCGAAAGTGAAGATGTGAACTGTCATGATATTTTGCTTCAACAGGATGACGTACTATGTCAGACACCTCACCAAACCATAGATTTTTTGTGCATTAAGTTTGGTAATAGTGTTGTATTTGCATTGCCAATTGATCGCCTCGGATATGCGGTCTGACTCCTTTTGACTAAGAACTAGTCGTTCAAAAAACTCTGAACACTTCATCGCACATTCTCCTTATTGCTCTCCATATAATAGCAGAATTTATAGTCTACCGCTCTCAGTCTTTAATCAACCACCCAACTATATTAACCCCACACACGGACATTGATATAGTTCATAAAGTTCATAAGTGGTACATCAGTAACTTACCATAGGAATATAACACCAGGATTTATACAGATGGGTCTGATATGAAATGCGGTGTTGGTTCTGGTGTACTCTGTAAATAAGCTGAAATAATAATCTCTCATCTCGGAGATGACATCTCCCAACAACTGAAGTGTTTTTAAGCTGAAGTATATACAAGAATGACAGCCTGTAGGACACTATATGAACTCAATATTGGAGTCAATATAGGAATTTTTGTAAACAGCCAAGCGGTACTTCCTTTATTAAACACTTCCACACTACCACTTCCCTATTGGTCAGATCATACAAGAAGGATCGGTCTGACATATTAGTTTAGGTTGCAAGCTTTACATACATAAGTACATATCTCCAACGCTGTTTCAGTTGCAACTCCGCTGGGTTTTATTCATTCATCAAATGGCTGAAAATAGATGGAATGACCTTCCCTTTGATGTCAGTAGCAACTCCATTGGGATTTATTAGAAATAGTATCTCCAGGTTCTTTCTGAAAATATATTAAATAATCTAGACACATGTAGAGGAGCCAAGTTAATATGGCGTTCTTTCAATGAAAAACGCAATAATCTAGACGGCCTACTATCAATGAAAAACTCACTAGGAAACATATAACCCAAACAGAAAGGATATATCGAGGTTGCAGGCAGTAATAACTGAACACTGGGTGCTAGGAAGAGATGCATGTCGGTTTAGGCAATGACAGGGATATCGAGTAAAAGGTTTTCCACCTTCTCTGCATATGCCCTTTCCTAGCTGTTAAGACGAATTAATTCCTGGGAAGATAAACTATACTCAACCTTGGTGAACTATCTATGTCCAGACTCAATGACCTATAATAAATATATCACTGCTAAGTACATTAATATAACTACACTGTGGACTTATCTAAACGGGGATCTTACGACTCTGCTTGACATTTTGCACGTAGTAGACTATAAGGTTAACCAACCAACCGTGGTCTCCGGTAGGTGAGTGATTAGTGTTCTAGTCTGGTAGACCAGAGGTGGTGGGTTCGATTACCACCTGAGGCACTGGTTACGGAGCGCACAACAGGGCCGATATAGGTCTAGGTGCATTTTTTCGGATTTGATGATCAAACTAACTAACCAACCAACCGATCTATTACCCTTTTTGTAAGGGGTACCGTTGATGACCGATATTATGCGAATAATCCAAAATCGATTCAAATCATTAATTCCAGATATTCCTAAGATAGAACCACAATCTGTCAACAAAGTATTTAAGCGATAGGACAAACTACAGCAAAGCTGTAGAAATTATTAATGATCCTAAAGTTTGCGGACGCCTTTTTTAAAGCGATATGTGATCAGCACTTTTACCGATTCATTCTATTAACAACACATAATTTTATAGTATTTTAAACCTTCCGTCTTCATACTTAGAATAGAGAGGTAACAAAGGAACAAGAGCGTTAGACATTAAAAGGATTTAGGTCCGATTTTCACCTTGTTCTTTTGAATTGAAGGTTACTCTACCAAACAGTTTGTTATCATAACTCTTTATTTTCTTTCTATTTTCAGATATCCCTCACAGGTATTTGTAGGTGATACATTTTGCTATTTTGCTGGCATGACATTTGCCGTTGTTGGCATAATTGGGCACTTTAGTAAAACTTTAATTCTCTTCTTTTTGCCACAAATTATCAACTTTCTCTACTCCATACCTCAGCTATTTAAATTTGTACCCTGTCCACGACATCGTCTACCAAAATACGATCCTAAATCAGATCTCCTGCATATAAGTACAACGGAATTTAATAAAAATGAACTCAACATATTGGGCAAGATAATGGTAACTATATTTAAGACTTTCAAACTAATCACCTGGCAAGAAATGCCCGATGGACGTGTAATAACGAATAATTTTACTTTAATCAATTTTGTACTGGTTGTCTTTGGACCGGTGCATGAAAAGGTGGTAACACAAATGTTAATGGCAGTACAGGTATGTTGTACGTTATTGGCATTCGTGATACGTTATCCTTTGGCTAGCTACTTCTATGATTCGTAGTGCGAAAGTTTTAACGAATGAACAAAGGATGTAAAGTTGTTTTGCTAATGAAATCAAATAATGATTTTCCTTTTGATTAAGATACATTGTAAAAAATTAAACCAAAATTTTAGTTTTGTAAGTATTTAAAGTATGTGTTGATATTTATATTTAGTTAAAGGACTAAAATTATTGCGTAAATAAATTTCGATATAATTTTTTAAAAATAGAAGTGAGTTTTAAATGTGAAAATTTTTACAAAATGCGAAAATTCCATAAATAGGCTCACAATTTAGCAGTTTTTTTGAGGAGTAATCTCAATAGCGCAAGGATTACCATAGGGAGGGCATACCTGGCTAGATGATTCCACACCACTTGACGAGCACTCACAGGGTCCACATTCTATATTGCCTTCTTCGTTAGCTTCCTCCTCACCCTCCTCTTCTCCCTTATAGGCGAAGGGTTTTTCAGCTGAAATTTCTGTAGCCTCCGTTGAGAGCGAACACACCGAAATATCAGAATCCGATATAGGCAAAGGCACCGGTTCCTGTGGCAGTAAAGACATATCATAAACACACACATCTTGGGCACACCATAAAGATGGCTCATTCATCCAAATGTCCTGTTCATTGTTATCCGACTCTTCCACTGCAACAGCTTCTTCCATAAAATCATTCAGCTGACTTGTTCTGTTTTTCCTGGCCTGTAAAGCCAACCAAGCTTCACGACCTGGAGTTTGAAAATAACCCATAAGCAAATAACGATTGTTGAAACTAAAAACACAAGGTCCCTGGGGATATAAATTATCCCAGGTTCCATGTAAAGTGGTACATTTGTCCTCGCTGCCAAAATTCAATTGAAAGGGACCAACACGTACACCTTGACGCCAAGTACCGGTAAAACTTACAGCACCACAAATAGCATTCGAAGATAAAGATTTACTGGTATAAATACCTACCCCGTGCCTTTGGCCACGATACCAACTACCACAATATGAATCACCATTAGCATAACTATAACGACCTTTACCATGTTTAAGACTTTTACGCCAGTTACCCTCATAATAACTACCATCGGGATATATAAAAATTCCTCGACCAGAACGTATACCTTTAAAACAAGCAAATTTAAGAATTATTCCAAATTAAAACATTTTTTCTATTCACCACAACGATATTGACCAAAATATCTAGAGCCATCTTTGAAAACATAAAGACCAATGCCATGTCGTTGACCTTTACGATATTGTCCATCATATTGATCACCATTTGGTAAAATGGCCCATCCCCGTCCATTGCGTTCGCTCTTACTATTGCGTCCACCTATATAAAGCTAAAAAGTTTTAAGATTTGTAGGGAATTAATTACTTTGAATCAACATAGAATATGAACTAACTCCAATGTTAATTTTATCTTCCTGCTCCTCAACGAAGCTTTTTTCTTCATCAGTTATTTCACTAGCGTTACTCATCTTATACTTTTGGTATATTTTTTATTAATTTGTTCGAATATAATGAAATTTCATTTACAGAATAAATAAAAATTGATTTGATAATTCTGTACAGTGGATAGAAACGTTTCGATTTACTTAGAAACTAAGCAATGATTACCTTCTTTCTCGAAAATTATAAGATATTGAGCAAAAACAGTGAAAATATGTGATCACATTTGCATCTCACTTTTGTTTGACACCAAAATTTGTTTCTCACAAAAATGTGATTTTTTGAATGAAAACTTAAAGTCCGTTTTTCTCGAAAACTATAAGAGATAGAGCAAAAACATTGAAAATCTGTGATCACTTTTGTCTCTCACAAAAACTTGATTTTTTGAGTGAAAACACAAAAGTGCGTTTTTCACGGAAACTTAAGAGATAGAGCAAAAACATTGAAAAACACAAAAGTCCGTTTTTCACAGAAACTGTAAGAGATAAAGCAAAAACAATGAAAATCTGTGATCACTTTTGTTTCTCACCAAAATGTGATTTTTTTAATGAAAACATAAAAGTCCGTTTTTCTCGAAAACTATAAGAGATAGAACATGCGATTTTTTGAGTGAAAACACAAAAGTCCGTTTTTCACGAAAACTATAAGAGATAGAGCAAAAACATTGAAAATCTGTGATCACTTTTGTTTCTCACAAAAATGTGATTTTTTGAGTGAAAACACAAAAGCGCGTTTTTCTCATAAAACTACAAGAGATAGAACTAAAACATTGAAAATCTGTGATCACTTTTGTCTCCCACAAAAACTTGATTTTTTGAGTGAAAACACAAAAGTCCGTTTTTCTCGAAAACTATAAGACATAGAGCAAAAACATTGAAAATCTGTTATCACTCTTGTTTCTTACAAAAATATGATTTTTGAGTGAAAACACAAAAGTCCGTTTTTCTGGAAAACTATAAGAGATAGAGCAAAAACATTGAAAATCTGTGATCACTTTTGTTTCTCACAAAAATATGATTTTTTGAGTGAAAACATAAAAGTCCGTTTTTCTCGAAAACTATAAGAGATAGAGCAAAAACATTGAAAATCTGTGATCACTTTTGTTTCTCACAAAAATGTGATTTTTTGAGTGAAAACATAAAAGTCCGTTTTTCTCGAAAACTATAAGAGATAGAGCAAAAACATTGAAAATCTGTGATCACTTTTGTTTCTTACAAAAATGTGATTTTTTGAGTGAAAGAATAAAAGTGCGTTTGTCTCGAAAACTATAAGAGATAGAGCAAAAACATTGAAAATCTGTGATGACTTTTGTCTCTCACAAAAACTTGATTTTTTGAATGAAAACACAAAAGTCCGTTTTTCACGAAAACCATAAGAGATAGAGCAAAAACATTGAAAATCTGTGATCACTTTTGTCTCTCACAAAAATGTGTTTTTTTTTGAGTGAAAACATAAAAGTGCGTTTTTCTCGAAGACTATAAGAGATAGAGCAAAAACATTGAAAATCTGTGATCACTTTTGTTTCTCACAAAAACTAGATTTTTTGAGTGAAAACACAAAAGTGCGTTTTTCTCGAAGACTATAAGAGATTGAGCAAAAACATTAAAAATCTGTGATCACTTTTGTTTCTCACAAAAATGTGATTTTTTGAGTGAAAGGATAAAAGTGCGTTTTTCTCGAAAACTATAAGAGATAGAGCAAAAACATTGAAAATCTGTGATCACTTTTGTTTCTCACAAAAATGTGATTTTTTGAGTGAAAACATAAAAGTCCGTTTTTCTCGAAAACTATAAGAGATAGAGCAAAAACATTGAAAATCTGTGATCACTTTTGTTTCTTACAAAAATGTGATTTTTTGAGTGAAAGAATAAAAGTGCGTTTGTCTCGAAAACTATAAGAGATAGAGCAAAAACATTGAAAATCTGTGATCACTTTTGTTTCTCACAAAAACTTGATTTTTTGAATGAAAACATAAAAGTCCGTTTTTCTCGAAGACTATAAGAGATAGAGCAAAAACATTAAAAATCTGTGATCACTTTTGTTTCTCACAAAAATGTGATTTTTTGAGTGAAAACATAAAAGTCCGTTTTTCTCGAAAACTATAAGAGATAGAGCAAAAACATTGAGTGAAAACATAAAAGTCCGTTTTTCTCGAAAACTATAAGAGATAGAGCTAAAACATTGAAAATCTGTGATCACTTTTGTCTCTCACAAAAACTTGATTTTTTGAATGAAAACACAAAAGTCCATTTTTCACGAAAACCATAAGAGATAGAGCAAAAACATTGAAAATCTGTGATCACTTTTGTCTCTCACAAAAATGTGTTTTTTTTTGAGTGAAAACATAAAAGTGCGTTTTTCTCGAAAACTATAAGAGATAGAGCAAAAAAATTGAAAATCTGTGATCACTTTTGTTTCTCACAAAAATGTGATTTTTTGAGTGAAAGAATAAAAGTGCGTTTTTCTCGAAAACTATAAGAGATAGAGCAAAAACATTGAAAATCTGTGATCACTTTTGTTTCTCACAAAAACTAGATTTTTTGAGTGAAAACACAAAAGTGCGTTTTTCTCGAAGACTATAAGAGATAGAGCAAAAACATTAAAAATCTGTGATCACTTTTGTTTCTCACAAAAATGTGATTTTTTGAGTGAAAGGATAAAAGTGCGTTTTTCTCGAAAACTATAAGAGATAGAGCAAAAACATTGAAAATCTGTGATCACTTTTGTTTCTCACAAAAATGTGATTTTTTGAATGAAAACATAAAAGTCCGTTTTTCTCGAAAACTATAAGAGATAGAGCAAAAACATTGAAAATCTGTGATCACTTTTGTTTCTCACAAAAACTAGATTTTTTGAGTGAAAACATAAAAGTGCGTTTTTTTTTTTTTTTCGAAAACTATAAGAGATAGAGCAAAAACATTGAAAATCTGTGATCATAAAAGTTCGTTTTTCTCGAAAACTATAAGAGATAGATCAAAAACATTGAAAATCTGTGATCACTTTTGTCTCTCACAAAAACTTGATTTTTGGAGTGAAAACACAAAAGTCCGTTTTTCTCGAAAACTATAAGAGATAGAGCAAAAACATTGAAAATCTGTGATCACTTTTGTTCCTCATAAAAGTGTGATTTTTTGAGTGAAAACATAAAAGTCCGTTTTTCTCGAAAACTATAAGAGATAGAGCTAAAACATTGAAAATCTGTGATCAATTTTGTCTCTCACAAAAACTTGATTTTTTGAGTGAAAACATAAAAGTGCGTTTTTCTCGAAGACTATAAGAGATAGAACAAAAACATTGAAAATCTGTGATCACTTTTGTTTCTCACAAAAATGTGATTTTTTGAGTGAAAGGAATAAAGTGCGTTTTTCTCGAAAACTATAAGAGATAGAGCAAAAACATTGAAAATCTGTGATCACTTTTGTTTCTCACAAAAACTTGATTTTTTGAGTGAAAACATAAAAGTGGGTTTTTCTCGAAAACTATAAGAGATAGAACAAAAACATTGAAAATCTGTGATCACTTTTGTCTCTGACAAAAACTTGATTTCTTGCGTGAAAACATAAAAGTCCGTTTTTCTCGAAAACTATAAGAGATAGAGCAAAAACATTGAAAATCACTTTTGTTTCTCACAAAAACTTGATTTTTTGAGTGAAAACATACAAGTCCGTTTTTCTCGAAAACTATAAGAGATAGAGCAAAAACATTGAAAATCTGTGATCACTTTTGTTTCTCACAAAAACTAGATTTTTTGAGTGAAAACACAAAAGTCCGTTTTTCTCGAAAACTATAAGAGATAGAGCAAAAACATTGAAAATCTGTGATCACTTTTGTTTCTTATAAAAATGTGATTTTTTGAGTGAAAACATAAAAGTGCGCTTTTCTCTAAAACTATAAGAGATAGAGCAAAAACATTGAAAATCTGTGATCACTTTTATTTCTCACAAAAATGTGATTATTTGAGTGAAAACACAAAAGTGCGTTTTTCTCGAAAACTATAAGAGATGGAGCAAAAACATTGAAAATCTGTGATAACTTTTGTCTCACAGAAACTTGATTTTTTGAGTGAAAACACAAAAGTCCGTTTTTCTCGAAAACTATAAGAGATAGAGCAAAAACATTGAAAATCTGTGATCACTTTTATTTCTCACAAAAATGTGATTTTTTGAGTGAAAACATAAAAGTGCGTTTTTCTCGAAAACTATAAGAGATAGAGCAAAAACATTGAAAATCTGTGATCACTTTTGTTTCTTACAAAAATGTGATTTTTTGAGTGAAAACATAAAAGTGCGCTTTTCTCGAAAACTATAAGAGATAGAGCAAAAACATTGAAAATCTGTGATCACTTTTGTTTCTTATAAAAATGTGATTTTTTGAGTGAAAACATAAAAGTGCGCTTTTCTCTAAAACTATAAGATATAGAGCTAAAACATTGAAAATCTGTGATCACTTTTGCTTCTCACAGAAACTTGATTTTTTGAGTGAAAACATAAAAGTGCGTTTTTCTCGAAAACTATAAGAGATAGAGCAAAAACATTGAAAATCTGTGATCACTTTTGTTTCTTACAAAAATGTGATTTTTTGAGTGAAAACATAAAAGTGCGTTTTTCTCGAAAACTATAAGAGATAGAGCAAAAACATTGAAAATCTGTGATCACTTTTATTTCTCACAAAAATGTGATTTTTTGAGTGAAAACATAAAAGTGCGTTTTTCTCGAAAACTATAAGAGATAGAGCAAAAACATTGAAAATCTGTGATCACTTTTGTTTCTTACAAAAATGTGATTTTTTGAGTGAAAACATAAAAGTGCGCTTTTCTCTAAAACTATAAGAGATAGAGCAAAAACATTGAAAATCTGTGATCACTTTTGCCTCTCACAGAAACTTGATTTTTTGAGTGAAAACATAAAAGTCAGTTTTTCTCGGAAACTATAAGAGATAGAGCTAAAACATTGAAAGTCTGTGATCACTTTTGCCTCTCACTGAAACTTTGAGTGAAAACATAAAAGTGCGTTTTTCTCGAAAACTATAAGAGATAGAGAAAAAACATTGAAAATCTGTGATCAATTTTGTTTCTCACCAAAATGTGATTTTTTGAATGAAAACACAAAACTCCGTTTTTCACGGAAACTATAAGAGATAGAGCACAAACATTGAAAATCTGTGATCACTTTTGTTTCCCATCAAAATGTGACTTTATGATTGATAACATAAAATTCTTTTTTTCTCGAAAACTATATGAGCGAAAACATAAATGTTCTTTTTTTATCGAAAACTATCAGATATAGAGCAAAATCAGTGAAAATCTGTGATCACTTTTGTTTGCCAACAAAATGTGATTTTTCGAGTGAAAACAATTTTTTTAAAATAAACAAGTTTTTATCGTATAACTTTTAATAACTGATTCTATATTATTAACTTATTTTATTTATATTATTATTTAAGTTTTGTAATACAGTATGTATGATTTTAATTATTTTATAAATGTTATATTTATAAATCTATATGCATTATATAGTATTTTATAAATTTATTTCTTTTAAATATTAAAGAAGCTTTTTATACTCGTATATTGTAGGTATTTTATGTATTTATGGTTATTTTTTAAAAGCTTAACTTTTTGTAGGCGGTATTTTATATACTAGTATAACTGAAATCATGTGTTGTTATAATAATTTTTTTTTTAAAAGTGGTGTTGTGTGTCATCAACTAACCTGAATGATCAATAAAATGTATCTTAATTTAAAGAAAACTAAATTCTAAATAAAATTAACTTAGCGTTTCTTTTTATAAAAATATTTAACATGTATTTACAGATGAAATTATGTTACATGTAATTAATGAAATAATTATAATGTGTTAATGAAACAATGAATATTTGAGTTGGTATTATAATTTTTTTAATAACTTATTATATATAATATTTTTGAGTTGATGTGTAGTATATACTATAGTAGTTACTATTTGTAGATTGCGCGATTTTATAAACTATGACCAAAAAATTAATAAAAGTTAAAGGTACACTCACATATGTCAAATATTTGTGGAAAATGGAGTGACCCCTAGGACGTCGACATTTTGATTTCCTTTAAATACATATTTTAAACAAAAATGGGCTTAAGTTTTTCGACAAATAGTTGATTGATGTGAATATACCTTTACTGTTTTAAATTAATTTAATATGTTATAAATCGCTCTAATTCTGTATTATAATTCGAATCGAAATTTTCTCCGCTTTGGTATTCTCTATTTCGATTCGATGCTCCGTCACTAAAATAACAAATTACTAAAACGTTTTCACAATCGTAATGCAGAATATAATAAGCGATGGTATCGAAATGCCGAATTGATGATGATATACAAGTTTCTAAAGAATCTGTCAATTTATCTAATTTACTTAACAGTTCTATTGTCTGTTTTTGTTTAAAATATCTAAAGTAAAGTAATTAATAACTTTTTATAGAAATGTAAAGTTATCGATAACTTTTCTATAGAAATAGGGATACAAATTTTATCGCAACCATTGTCGAATAAGAATTGAGAATCGTATGATTAACGTGGTGTTTACAAGCCCACGTTATTCATACGTAACAGTTCCATAATATTTTTTTATGAAATGGAAATATCCAATACAAAGTGAACTAGCCTGTGAACAAGTCTATAGACAAGTAAGTTCACTAGTCGATTGATTAATATATAGAATAGTACTCTATGATCTATTGTATTAACTAGTTATCAATAACTTTTCTATAGACAAATTATCGATAACTATAAATTTCTATAGAACAGTTATCGCTACCTTTACTTTTCTATACAAAAGTTTTCTTCAACATTACTTATCTATAGAAATGTTATCGATAACTTTACTTTTCTATAGAAAAGTTTTCTCCAACATTTCTTTTTTATTGAAAAGTTTTCTCTAAAATTACTTCTCTATAGAAAAGATATCGATAACTTTACTTTTCTATAGAAAAGTTATCGATAACTTTACTTTTCTATAGAAAAGTTATCGATAACTTTACTTTTCTATAGAAAAGTTATCGATAACTTTACTTTTCTATAGAAAAGTTATCGATAACTTTACTTTTCCATAGAAAAGTTATCGATAACTTTACTTTTCTATAGAAAAGTTATCGATAACTTTACTTTTCTATAGAAAAGTTATCGATAACTTTACTTTTCTATAGAAAAGTTATCGATAACTTTACTTTTCTATAGAAAAGTTATCGATAACTTTACTTTTCTATAGAAAAGTTATCGATAACTTTACTTTTCTATAGAAAAGTTATCGATAACTTTACTTTTCTATAGAAAAGTTATCGATAACTTTACTTTTCTATAGAAAAGTTATCGATAACTTTACTTTTCTATAGAAAAGTTATCGATAACTTTACTTTTCTATAGAAAAGTTATCGATAACTTTACTTTTCTATAGAAAAGTTATCGATAACTTTACTTTTCTATAGAAAAGCTATCGATAACTTTACTTTTCTATAGAAAAGTTATCGATAACTTTACTTTTCTATAGAAAAGATATCGATAACTTTACTTTTCTATAGAAAAGTTAACAATTACTCTACTTTACTATAAAAATGTTATTCTTGTTATGTGTTATTTCTTTACTTTTCAGTAGAAATGTATCGATTTCTTTACTTTTCTGCAGAAAATGTATCGATTTCTATACTTTTTTGTAGTAACGTTATCGATAACTTTACTTTACTATAGAAAATTTATCGATAACTACTTTCAAATTTCCCCCCGTAATAGAATTGAAATTAGTGTGAGTTTTTTTGTTTGTTTTTGTATTCATTTTTTAATGGTAATTGGAAATTGTTGTAATTTTTCTTTTTTTTATATTTTCCTTATACACTTCATATTGAATTATAAACGAAAATGTTTAAAAATATAACTTAATTTAACATTATAATTAACTTAAATTAGAAAAAATAATATGTATATTTTATATTAATATATGTATATATATATATATAATAAAAAAAGCAAATATTTTGTAACAAATCTATTTTATAAACAATTTCCAATTAAGTTTTATCATTGTTGTGTTTGTTGTATTTGTAGTTGCTGCTGCAGTTGTTGTGGTATTAATAATATTATTGTTGTTATTATTATTGCTCTGCTCTATAGACTATAAATATTTATTATTTTTATGCATACGCGATTTTCCAGGATTCACTTTACACTTGAGTTGTTGTATTAAATCGTAGATTTTCAATGCTGGACCAACCTTCATACCCAATAGGGTAATAATTTCATCTTTTGATAACTGCAACAGACGTTTACCATCGATTTTATTACGACTTAACGTATCACAATGTGCCGTACAGTCGTTAACGCGTAGAAATTGTGAAACATCATAGACATTCCAGGTATCTGGCATAAGTTCTGCAATATTATCACTATCCGTACAATCACTTAAACGTGGTATATATTTAGTACTGCTAACGGAGGAATTCTAGAAGAATAGATGTTGTATGAAGATTTGGGATGAAATTTAGATGAGTATTAAGTGGAAATAAAATTGGTCTTATATAAATGACTAGAATTAAAGATGATGGGGATATGATTGGTGGTGGTAATGATCCAATAACAGTGCGTTAAAAACAAATATATTTAACAAAAAACGATAAATGAATGCTAAAATTAATATACAAATATGAACATTGGCGGATGTCAAACAAACCAAAAACAACTTGCGGTAATCATATAAAAATCAAATATATATAAAGAGAACTACAGCTAAACTCTAGAACTGCACTAGAACTGAAATAGAACTGAATTAGAATTGAACTAGAACTGAACTAGAAATGAACTAGAACTGAACTAGATCTGAACTAGAACTGAATTAGAACTGAACTAGAACTGAACTAGAACTGAACTCGAACTGAACTAGAACTGAACTAGAACTGAAATAGAACTGAACTAGAATTGAACTAGAACTGAACTAGAACTGAACTAGATCTGAACTAGAACTGAACTAGAACTGAACTAGAACTGAACTAGAACTGAACTAGAACTGAACTAGAACTGAACTAGAACTGAACTAGAATTGAACTAGAACTGAACTAGAACTGAACTAGAACTGAACTGAACTGAACTAGATCTGAACTAGAACTAGAACTGAACTCGAACTGAACTAGAACTGAACTAGATCTGAACTAGAACTGAACTAGAACTGAACTAGAACTGAACTAGAACTGAACTAGAATTGAGCTGGAACTGAACTAGAACTGCACTAGAACTGCACTAGAACTGAACAAGAACTGAACTATTACCTAACACGTGTATTTCGGAACGAGTTATTTTCGGTGTTTGGTTTTCACGAACAATTAGATTCTGAAAAAATGTACAAAATTCCTCTCAACATTAAGAAAAAATTAAGAATAAAATGAAAAAAGAAAATCTAACATTAATTTTTTTGAATGAAATGTTAGAGGGAAAAATATAAAATGATTTTTTTGGGAAAATATTTACAATTTGATGACACTTGAGAGAGAGAGAGGAGATACGCACTATTACAGGGTTTAACTACCACTTACCCCAATGTAACTAGTAGCTTTACGTGTAGCTATTGGTGGAGCAGGTGATTGTGTTTTCTTAACGGTAGTTTTTTTATTAGATTTGTTAGGTTTACGTACTTTATCATTTGTAGATGCAGCCACTGCTGCTGCAGCTGCCGGATTTACCAAGAGTGTCGTCGTAGCCGTTGTACCCGACGCATTTCCCACAACTAAGGGATCATTTTGTAGGCAAGAAGATTGATTCGATAAAAGACTATTACTGTCTTCGTCGTATTCTTCACAATCGTCAGCATCGTCGTCGTCCTCAACTAGGGCGTCCGTTGTGTGTGCGACGTTTGTGTTTTCATAAAAGGCAGGATTATGATGTTCAGGTTTCAATTCCAATTTTATGCTAAGCTTAGGCAGATGGGGTGTTGTCTTTAAAGCTATTGTACGAGATTTTACTGCTATTTTGGAAAAAAGGAAGAAAGTTTATACTTTTTTTTTTATTTTTTCTTAAATTAAAAATATACCTTGAGGTTGCGTGTCTTGAGGTGTTGAGGTTTGATTATTTTTATTAGCGTTTGCTGGTGTGTTTGGTCCCTTCTTTTTACGTTTCTTCTGAGGTTTGGGTTTAGCTGCTGCTTTTGTAGGTGCCGGTAAGGGTGCAGGTGGTCCTTCCAATTTATGGTTAACTAGTACGCACCAACCTACAGGGTAAATATCCGCAGATTCACAATCTAGCCATTGATCATATTCATCAGTCCAGCCATCAAAATGTATTTTCAATAGACGTCCCACTATCCTAGATACTGTGGCCACACACACCAAACGAGGATCCATGAGATCAGCACATTCTAAACTCATGCCCACCTATTAAATAAAACAAAAAATAAATTAACTTTCTGATCACCTTTAAGTTAAATAATAATTTTTTACCTCAAAACCATGATTAGGCACATCACGATGAAACAAATGTTCTCCCGCTGGCATGGCATTTGTATCACGTAAATACGTTTCCCAAGTGAAATTATTCGCATTATAACCATTTGGCGGCGTTAAGGTGATACTATTAGCTGCACAAAAGCCCACTGGGAAAATATTTGGGGACTTTTCATGGTAACAAAACCTTAAAAAGAACGAAAAAATAAACAACTTGATTTTATCTATTTAGCATCGTAATAGCTTACCAGTCGGAACCTGTAGCATCTGGTTGATATGAATCAATACGTATCATCATATAACCAAATTTCAAAACGGCCATTACTGTGGCCACACATATTGAGGAGAGATTCAAAGGATCCACTGCTTCCAGTTTCATGCCTTCAATAAAAGTCTTTGTTTTGCCTTCAATGAAATATTCTTCGAATGTGAAATTCATTTTAAACAATTCTATAGTTGCATCATCTTCATGTACTTCTATCATGGCTTCACGACCCGCTAAAATATATAAACAGACAAAAATTATATATAAAAACTATATTTTTATTCAAAAATTTTCCTTACCCAACATTCTCTCTAGATAATCCTGTGGTGCTGCCAAATTATGACCCACCGTTGTGGCCCAACCCACTGGATGTATAATTGGTGAATCTTCGTGACACCAGAAGCCATCGTCGGAATCAAAATATCGTAAAAATAAACGTTTCCCTACAATTTTTGTGACCGTCGCCAAACGTACTTGTGATATACGATCCTTATCCACACATTCTAGATTAAGGCCCAGGCGAAAACGTGACTGCATGCTTTCATTGATTTTATTGTAAAAACTGGAGGGTAATGTTCTGGCACCCGACAAACGACTCACTAAGAAATCTTTCCAATCTTTGTATTTATTCTCAATCGAACGTGGAGGTATAAGAGGTTTGCCTCGTGTCGCACACCAACCAACCGCATGCACTTCCGCATTACATAGATTCACCCAAAAATCATGACTTTCAGTGTCGAAACCTGTTATGGAAAGATTTGTTTATTAAAATTTAAAATTTTACATCATGATATCGCATTTTCGAAAACTTTCGAACTATAATGCTACAAGCTTTTAAAATAAACTTTACCTTCATATCTCATTAGCGCCTTATATCCCTGTATATCCAATATGGTGGCCACCCAAAATGAATGCGGCGTTTGACCCGGCTGTATCACCTCCAACTGATCACAATCTGTATTCTCCACCTCGACTTTCATGTCAATGCCCAAATTATCCCAAACATCATAGCCGGGCGCATGATGAAAACATGTTACAGGCGCCGCATAGAAATCCTCCCGACCCAAACGTGGTGTCCAATCATACGAATGTGTAGGATCATATAATTTTCTACGTATACTAATGATTTTCTCCATTTGCGGACAAGATGAAGGAAGACGTTCATATTTTGGTATTTGAGGCAATTCATCCTGAGGCATAACATCACGATACATACGCAAAGCTTTAGGGGTTTGTGTCATTTCTGTAAGCTGTTGATTGTCTGTGGTATATATACCACTCGGTAGTGTTAATGTTGTGGTATTTGCTGACGCCGCTGTATTTAATGTTTCAGCATTTGTTAGAGTTGTGGCATTCGCACCATTAGCAACACCACTACCACCTCCATTAGCTATTAGATTATTATCTGAGTTATTGTTGTTATTTATAGGTTCTCCAAAACCATTTATTTGGGTTATTTTCGATTGATCTGTTATGCGAAAACGATAATTTGAATTTTTGATATGTGCTACACGTAGTGCTAATTCTATATCATTTTGTTGCTGCTGCTGCTGTTGTTGTTGCTGTGCTTGTTGTTGTTGCTGCTGTTGTTGCAGTTGATTTTCATTTAAATTATTTTCCATATTTTCAATTTGTTGCTGCTGTTGTTGCTGTTGCGCTTGTTGTTGTTGTTGTTGCTGCTGTTGACTTGTACCTCCTGTTGTTTTATTATTTACCACTAACGAATACAATTCACCACGAGCACATGCCATACTACAGAAACGTCGAGATTTTGTATAAAACGTATGTTTTACACCTATTGCTCCACAACGTTCACAAACGGCTGAAATTAACAGGATTTAGAAGAAATTTTCAAAAAAAGATTTTTTTTTTAATTTTCAAAGTTAATTCAACGGATAGTTGAAAATGGTAAAATTCCTCCATAACCACTGAAAAGATGAGCTGGATTACTTAAAATAAAGCTGAAATTTGTAGTTTGTTCAAAGAATTTTGTACATTTAGGTTATCCTATTCTAAAAATTATTCTTGAATTTTTCTAAAATTGCTCTACAATTATTTCATGGGAAACAAACTTTCCATTTGAGTCATTACCCGATTATAGACAGACAATATAGAACAGAACTGAAATAGAACTGAACTAGAACTAAAGTAGAACTGAACGAGACGGGACTAGAAATTAACTCAACTTGAACTGAACTAGAACCGAACTAGAACTGAACTAGAACTGAACTAGAACTGAACTAGCACTGAACTAGAACAGAACTTGAACTGAAGTAGAACTGAACTAGAATTGAATTAGTACTGAACTAGGACTGAACTAGAAATGAACTACAACTGAGCTAGAACTGAACTAGAACTGAATTAGAACTAAACTAGAACTGAACTAGAACTGAACTAGAACTGAACTAGAACTGAACTAGAACTAGAAATGAACTAGAATTGAACAAGAACTGAGCTAGAACTGAACTAGAACTGAACTAGAATTGAACTAGAACTGAACTAGAACTGAACTAGAACTGAACTAGAACTGAACTAGAACTGAACTAGAACTGAACTAGAACTGAACTAGAACTAAACTAGAACTGAACTAGAACAGAACTAGAACTGAACTAAAACTGAACTAGAACTGAACTAGAACTGAACTAGAACTGAACTAGAACTGAACTAGAACTGAACTAGAACTGAACTAGAACTGAACTAGAACTGAACTAGAACTGAACTAGAACTGAACTAGAACTGAACTAGAACTGAACTAGAACTGAACTAGAACTGAACTAGAACTGAACTAGAACTGAACTAGAACTGAACTAGAACTGAACTAGAACTGAACTAGAACTGAACTAGAACTGAACTAGAACTGAACTAGAACTGAACTAGAACTGAACTAGAACTGAACTAGAACTGAACTAGAACTGAACTAGAACTGAACTAGAACTGAACTAGAACTTAACTAGAACTGAACTAGAACTTGAACTAGAACTGTACTAGAACTGAACTAAACTAGAACTGAACTAGAACTGAACCAGAACTGAACAAGAATCACTCCTATTCCTATAAAATCTTTACAAACAACTTAAGTTCCAGCATTGTCTATTTACAATTATAATCCTTAAGTTTGCTTTTAATAATTTCAAATTTGTTTTTACAAAAAGTGTGTAAGTATTTGACTAATAATCAATTTGTTGAAAAAATATATAACAATTAAATAAAACAAACATAATAAAGTAATTGAATTGAATTAAATTAAATAAAAGAAATTAATAAATAAGAATGAAAAAAACAAAACCTACCCATGCCATCTTTTTGTATTGGTATAACAGATGGATCAATGTTGCCCTTGTAGGCAATTGGTGTTTTCAATACTAAACCAGGACGATTGACTGGTTCAATTTTACGAGTTTTACGTTGAGAACGTAAATTACCACCACCACTGTGAGTACTTGTACCAACACCACCACCACGAGAAGTTAAAGAATTAGCGGATGTTGAGGCTGCTTGAGCAGCTGCTAAAAGATTACGATTTGCTGCAGCAGCAGCTTCACTTAATATTTTATGTTCATCACTCATTGGCACTAGAAGATCTTGATCATCGACTTCATGCGGTTGTGTAATATCGATACCAGTTGCAGATTTATCATCACTATTAATGAAATCGGTGCCATCGTATGAATTTGAATCAGTCATCATGACAAAATCATCGATATTAATGATTTCCTGTTTGGGCGTTAGGCCCGATATACCATCTTCATAACCATCATCCATTTGATCATAGATTTGCTGATGATGCTGCTGCTGCTGGTGCTGTAATTGATGATGATGTTGCTGTTGCCCATCATCGGTTGTTAGGAATTGTGCTGATGTAATTGGTTTACCATTACTATTGACCAGTATGCCACCAGCAGCTGCAGCAGCATTTAAGGCATTATTAAGATTTGTTGTACCATCATCATCATCCATTGAGGCGTAATTTTGAAAAACTGCAGCTGCCGATTGCTGTAACAGTTGTTGGTGCAAACCACCCATATGGGCCAGACCATAAATGTCATTTGCATTTGTTGCCAATAGCGTTGTAGGTTGTACACCCAAAGCAACAGCAGCTGATGAGGCTGCACATGCTGCTGCCGCAGCTGCGGCCGCCGAAGCATTTGAAGCTGCTACTGCAGCGGCTGCAGCCGCAGCCTGATTATTGAAATCCCCCCCAACTAAACTCATCATTGGATTTAAATCCTTTAGTTTTAGTAGTAGTAGTAGTATTATAAAGTGTATATTTTTTGTTTGTAATAAGTCCAATCAATACATTAATAAAATTTGTATTTAAGTTAGTTTTTAATTGATTTGGAAATCATAAGGTTAAGTTTTTTTGGTTTTTGGTGGGGGAAAGAATATATATTTGTTTATTATACATTAATAAAACAGCCAAGTTGAAATAAACGTAGATATATTGTATTTTTGAACCGAATATGAAAAGAAAAAAAGAAAAAAACATAGAGAAATAAAATTTTGAAATAAAAGTTGTTTTTAAAAACTATAATACATGATACATACAATATTTTGCAAAATATTCAATATTTTTAGCAAAGTAAAAAAAAAAAAAATTGAGAAAACAAATAATAAATGAATAAAATAAGTGTACAAAATTTTAAATGAATAAAAGTGTACTACAAGACTACGTTAACTAGTTATATACTGCAATTGCTTTTGTATAGTTAGAGTTAAAGTATAGTTTTCAAGAGTGGGATTTATAATTATTAGGATTTAAATAACGTTTCACACTTACCATTGTTTGTTGTTGTGTTAAATCATCCATTACAGAAAGACCAACAGTTGGGTGAAAAAATGTTGCATCCTCAAGAGAAATACGTTCAGGATTGTATTGACTCATCCACATCATTCTTAACTCTGAGGGGTTCATTTTATTTTACTATAATCCTCTATAAAAACTGTCATTTATTTTTCTTTGTTTATTTATTCTTAAATAACTAGATACCAAATGGAAATGTTAAATAATAACTTAGGAATAATTTTGATTAATATATAAATCTGAAATTATAAGAAAACATGAAAGAGTTTCCAATTAATCAATTGTTAGTTGCACCAATGATTTGGTTTATTTGGTAAAGAACAAAACTGTTACGTATTAGAAAAAATTATGACGAAAGTAGACAAATCAATTAATTTTTAATTAATTTTCGAATATTTGGATGCACTATTCCTAAAATTTAACTAAAACTGAAATTGAACTGAACGAGAATTGAACTAGAATTGAACTTGAACTAGAAATGAACTAGAATTGAACTTGAACTATAAATGAACTAGAATTGAATTTGAATTGAATTCGAACTGAACTGGAACTGAACTAGAATTGAACTAGAACTGAACTAGGACTGAATTAGAAATGAACTAAAACTGAACTAGAACTCAACTAGAATTAAACTAGACCTGAACTTGAACTGAACTAAAACTAACCTAAATTTGAACTACATAAAACTGAACTTGACCTAAGCTAGAAAAAAACTGGAACAGAGCTAGAACAGAACTAGAACAGAACTAGATCAGAAATAGAACTCAACTAGAATTGAACTAGAGCTACACCAGAACTGAACTAAAATTTAATTAAAACTAAACTTGACTTGAACTACAACAGAACTAGATTAGAACTAGAACAGGAACGAACTAGAACTACATATACGAGAATTTTGAACATTTTTAATTTGAAAACATAATACATATTCGGACAACGGAAGCTGGTTTAAAACATTGTTAAAATTTTAATGTAAACTCACATTGAAAATAATAAGAAACTTAAAAATTAAATAAACGCTTCCGAGATAAATGTTATTTACATTTTACTATTTTGACTACCAAGTACCCATATACTCAACGAATTCGCAACTCTAATATAACAACTCTGTATTTTGACAGCGAGAAAAAGAAAAACAATGAACAAGAGAGAAGATATGCAAAAAATATGTAGTTGTAAAAAAGAATAAACAAAAAATTTTAATTAAAAAAAACTTTTTTAATGAAAAGAAAATTGAAAACCTTTACTTAACAAAAAAATCGAATAAAAAAACTTAGCACAAACATATGCATATACATTACAGTCCATAGTTTTTGCACACAATTTTTTTCTGCTTTACTTTCAAGCCCTTAAAAATTTAGATTTTTTTCCTTTATTTTTATATGAACTTTGACATACCACTTATTTATAGTTTATTTACTATTTATTAATAGTTTATTAACATTCTAGCAACTTAGTAGTTATTTGTTAAGGAAAATTCCAAAAACGAAATTTGCCCGCAGCACATACTTAACATATTCATATTCGTTTTTGCCCAAAAAATAAGAAAACATTTAACCACAGAATACTCGTGTATGTTGGTTGTATACCTCAACAGGAAAAAAATTCACACATTTGCAACGACACAATTGAACAAGACGACAGACAACATCTCGACCATACGAAAACAAATTCTTTTCCAGCGTTTTTACAACACTTTACTCACCAATTTCACTTTAAAACTATACGAAATCTTTTAAATTACACTTTTGTTTACATGTTTTAAGAGTTTTTATTAATTTTAATAAGAATTTTATGGGAAAAAAATACTTTTGAAAATTTTTAATAACCCGAGAATACAAAAAAGCAAGAGTAAATTGCCAGCCTCAAAATGTAATTTAATGTTGGTGTTTAAGGCTGCCAGATGTAAAAAAAATTGAATTAATACTTTTAAAATTTTTGGTAAATCAATCTAGAAGAAGTAAAATTTCGAGAATTGTTATAAATATCAACGATGAGTTTTTAAAATACTATAGAAATTCTAAATATTAATCAAGTTTTATTTAAAAATATTTAAATTCTACAAAATTATAAAATATGGTAGCATTGTTTAGCAACTCTTTTCACCACTGTGTTGTTTACAGGAATATTGTCATATGAATTCACCATGGCGGTCAAATAATGGCGTTACTACACTAGAGCGTGTTTACAGAGTTAATAATATAATATGTTCTATTACAAATGATAT